TGCCTTCCACTGTGATTTAATGTAGTTTAACCTACACTGAGTATCCCTGCTGATTCCTTTGCCCTGTTGGAATTGGGAATGGAAAGAAAATGATTTTGTGCAGTTATGACTGTGTGGAAACAGCAGCGAAAGACGATGAAGTCAGAACTGCTGGTGTTTCGTCCTACCATGTCCAAACTTTCAGGGCCCCCCTCAGACTCTTTCTTTGAGAACATTTCAATTCACTTCAAACTTAATTCATTTTTTTGCTGGAGAAGATGCCCAGAGCCTCAGGAATCACATGCTCCTGGCAAAGCCACATGAGCACTTTTGCTTTAAAAGGTTGCATCTTCTGAAGCCTTGCCTTGTCTAAAAACACGCTTTGGCAGACAGTTTTAATTTATTAATCCCATGTAATGGCACTGCTTGTATTCCTTGTAGAAAACTCACCATTTCTGCAGGGAGAGAGTATTCCAGGTCAGATCACCTCCCTGCTGTGGTCCTTTTGTGTGGATGGCAGGGGATAAAGAGAGGAGGGCTGTGATACCACAACGCACGTGCTTTGCTCCCTGGGCTGGGGGGAACAGATGGTCAGATCATGCCTTGATGGAAACTCTCGAAACGTGAAGTTCCTTCAGTTACCAGATCACAGGAAACTATTTTGGGGGCAGCAATTCACAAACCTCAAAATGCTCCTCGTTGTGTTCTCTGGGGAGGGCCCTGGCTCTTCTCCAGCAGAGTCTTCCTCTCTGTCACAATCCAGCCCTCTGGTATTTTATGCAGATTTTACACAAAACGTGCTCGAATCCAATATGTGCTGACAATATTTGATCCCCTCCTGCTGTAATGTTGGAAGTATCTGCTTAGAGAGGAATTGTTTCCTTTATTTTCTCTCTCTTTTTTTTCAGTCTAATTTCCAAGTCATGACATGTAGAGGGTGTCTGAGCAAATCTCCTCAGCCTTCTGCCTCGTTTGAGAAGGACAGCTGAGATCCTCTTTAACACCTCCATTTCTTCGTTGCTGCAATCTGTTTTGATTAAAATTGCACAGGGCCCTCATCTGCATATTTATCACTCCACAGACCCACAAATCATCTCCCAGCTCTGCCACTCCTCAGTGTTCAGGACAGACTAAAGTGCTACACCAGGACTCTCAACTATGCAGACGTTAATTTAGTTTCTCACACCTGCTGGTTTCCAGCAAATATGACTTTGGGGAAGGAAAATATTCATACATTACCTTTGCTCAGTATTCCCCAGGAGTCAGAATTACTGGAGGGTGGTTTTTCTTTTTTCCAAGATGGATTGAAAATTTCCTATTAAGAAACAAATTTCAAATTAAATGGAAAGGTCCTGAAAAAGTTCTGATGCCGGGAGGCAGCTGAGGGGAAGGGGGAATGTTTAAACAAAGAAATAACCCTTTTTAATAACATTTTTTCAGCTTTTGACAGCCAGACTGTGACACATTTTCAGATCCTCAGATGAAAGGGCTGCAGTGGAAATGAAAATTATTCCTTCCCTTTGTGCTTTTGACAGGCCATCTTATTTCAACCACATATTATTAAGAGTATTACTAGCCACTGACCAAGTTTTTAAGGAGTATTTTCCTGAAATAGTCTTTTCCTTCTTTTTGGTTAAATCTCACTTTTACACTTAGTGTTTCTACAAGGACAAAGTTTTTTTGCCTGTATCTCCTTCTGCCTCAGCTGCTGCAGGGATGCCGTGATTTGCTTCTCAATTCAGAGCCTCTAATTTTTAATAGTCCAAAGAAAGTGTGAATTGAAGTCAGGAAATCAGGATATGATTTCCTGATTTCCTGCAGGAAGTCAGGAAATTTTGGATGTGTGAGAGGCCACAGCACCTTTTGTTCTTCTTTATATTGTGGTTGTGCCTTGGGGAGCAGGAGAGAGTAGGAGATAAGTGTTACCCAAGGAGGGTGATGGCTGTGGGGTGATGCCAATGGCCAGATGGGGAGAACATGAGCTCTAGACTTTACTGTTCTGCATGACAAGCTGAACATGCTGCAGACCAACCACGCCATCACTGCCAAGGTTTTTGACGCAGTTGGGTTGTAGTCAGGGTGGCACAAGGGGCACAGTTCATTAGGATGGGTAATATCCTGTATTAGACAAACTGCCTGTAGAAATTCGACACATTCCTGGTCATCTCAGCACACCTGAGAGATGTGGTACAGACCTCACCCAGCTCCTCTTACATCCTGCAAGGCCAAACTCATGCTGAGAAGGGTCATCTTCTGCCAACCCTTGCTGCAAGTCTTTGATGTGCCTGTAAACTATCCAGCAGCTGATGTCTGCAAAGAAAATATAGAGAGCTTTAAAACACAATCTACACGGACTGTTCTGAAAGGAAGGTGAGGGGAAAATGAAGGAATAACAGAGCCTGACAGTTGCTGTGGCTTCCATTTCTCTCCAGAACCTGCTCCAGGGTGGTCCATTGTGGCCTGAGCTGTTGTTTAGATGTGCTTGAGGAGCTGGGGTCGGAGAGAAGGATGTCATCTTTGTTCTTCCAGCCAAAATTATGGCTAATGTATAAATAACTGTATGAAGCTGACTAGTTTTGTAGTTGTCAGATCCAGGAGTGGAGCTCAGCTGATCCTGCTGGGTCCTTGGCAGGTCAGATGAGAAACACCTGATCTGGATGAGTGAGCTCAGACATCACAGGAGGTGTCACAACACGGGGGTCACAGGGCAGGCATGGAATGCTCTGCTAGACCACCACAAGGATTCTTCATAAACTCCAAAAGGATGTCAGCCAAGAGACATTAAGTCTTCCAGTATCATTTGTAAGCTGAAAGGTTTGGCTGCCTCTAATGCAGTGATTATCCAGGAAAAGTCCCTGGTGCTCCTGTGGCTTTCATCAGTAGCAAAGGGGACAGTGTCAGGGGCTCTTGCATGAAGAATTTTCTTCATTTTCCAGGCATATGAAAGAAATAACAGTTTGTGCCATCATTAAGTGATATGTAAACTCACACTGGTCAGCAGAAAAAAGTGCAATCCATTTTCTTGCTTTGGGCAAGGCCCATATTCTTGTAGGTTGGGATTGATTTACAAAAGCCATAAGGAAATCGATGCTCAACTCTCACTAAAATTCAGTGAGAATTAGATGCAGAGCTGCTTCCAGTTTGTTCCACTTTCCATTGGTGATCCATCTGTCAAGCAGCCTGTCCCCCACTTGGGGGTTAGGCACCAGTTTTAGCTGTATGACCTTGTCTTGGGGCGAAAAGTGCAGAGCACGTGGAATCCCATTGCACGGAAATCAATCTGCAAACCCCAAGTGGGAGTGTTTGAGAGTAAAATCCCACTTCAAACACAGTCCTGAACATGTTTCATGAGCTGGCAACCCAATTTAGAGATTGGCCTGAGTCACAAACGAGACCTGGGCCATGTCTGTCTCTGTTATTCTTTATGAACAACCTTGTGATCTCTTCTGGTGCAGACAGGGCTTGCAGACATATTTAAGCAAATGGGGTAAGTGTTAGAAATAGCTTAAAGCTGAATACTTTTCCATGACAAGAAAAAAGCCTTCCCTGCTGCTTGTTTACTTCTGATTTATTCCCCAGTAAAAAGGGGTGAAGTTTGCTCTTTGTGAGCTCAACATTGGCTATAAAAAACACCATCTTCAGTGAAGTGTCTGATCTATTATTGTCATTCTCCCACAAAAGCAGCTGGGGTAGCATGGGAAAAATGATCTCTATGCTTTGGGGGAAGCAGAGGGGTTGGAGAAGCTGGTCTCTCATCTGACAAATGAATTATCATCAAATCAGGGGTGTATAGAGAATAAACTGCTGTTTCCCCCATTAGTGGCATTTCACTACCTTACAGTCACTGGCCTGACCATTTAACCAAGTTTTGCTGGGAATAGGAAGGAAAACAAATGCTGGGATGACATTTATTAGGTGTGCTTGTTCAGTCAGTCCATTTGCTGCCCTGGGTTCTCGCTCTACGTGCTGAAGGGCTGACTCTGCATGGAAGTCAGTGGATGTATTTCTGCTCCCCTGGCTCAGGGCTTTTAAATGGAACATGTACAGACTGAGGAGGAAGAGGAAATATTGAGGTAAATGAAAGGAATGAGTTTCAGGAAGAGCTGTACAGCCCAGCCAGCTTGTGACCATAAGCAGGTTATTGTGTTATAGCTGAGGAAAGCTCAGACAGTGGGAAATGTTTCCTAGAGGAAAGGTGTGTTGGCTGCTGAAAAGACATTTCTACACATGCATTTTTATTGCTCTTTCTAATGCGTGTCTCCCTTGTTGGAGTCTCTTCTTCTTACATCTCACTCCTTGTCTGCTAAAACATTGCTGTGATACAACACTGACAGCAGAACCTTGAGCCTGCAGAGCTCTGCAGAGAGATCCATTTACCTCTAATCAGTAGAGTAAAAGTTATTACTGGGCTACAAGGCCTGGAGTTCACATTCCCGAGCAATTGCAGTCATTAAAAGCACATGAAAAAGGGATGGAACGAGCTTTGTGGTGTTCATAAACCTTTTGACAACACCTTGAGTTTCTGACGTGATCCAGCCTCCAGCAGCCTTCAAGCAGTGAACTGATGGGTGAAGCAAATGTGGAATTTAACATCGGTTATATCATAACAGAACATATATTTATTTTACCTACCACACTCTGAAAGTAGTATTTTGAACTGAGATGAGGCTCAGCAGGCTTCTTCACCTTGGTCTTCTGCTTGAGGCAGTTAAACCTTCTAAAAGCCACTATATTTATTCTAAACCATACTGATATAACAGTAGTTTTCTTCATGTCTGGTGATGTTTTGTTCACAACCACTCTGAGATCTTGGAAAACCAGATTATTATATATAGCCAGGTTATTATATATAAACCACTGTTGTTATATATAAGAGCAAGCTCAGCAGCTTGGGGGAGGTTGGGTGGTACATTGGGTGGCACCTCAGCCCTGTTGTCCAAGGGTGCAGCACACGAGCAGCTTCCCACTTGTTGGGTGGTGTAGCTGTGGTTCATCCCTTACGCTGTTCCTTCTTCTTTCAGGGACCAAGTGTGCCAGGAAAGAAAAGGACACCTGGCTTGGTTTGCACAGGCTCTCCAATTTCTGCTCCAGGTTACAAAGGCCAAACAGCCATAAGACTCTCTCAACTCGTAACAGGACCTGAGCAGCACCATGGGACTGCCCAGCCGGGTTTTGGCCTGTGCCATCCTCGCCCTGCTGTGCCAGCACGTCAGGGGGGGGCTCATCAAGAGAATCATCCGGCACAAGCGGGAGACAGGGCTCAATGTGACCCTGCCAGAGGACAACCAGCCTGTGGTTTTTAACCACGTCTACAACATCAAGCTGCCTGTGGGCTCCCTCTGCTCCGTGGACCTGGACTCGGCGAGCGGCGACGCGGACCTGAAGGCGGAAATCGAGCCGGTCAGGAATTCCGAGGAGCACACGGTGAACGAGGGGAACCAGATCGTCTTCACGCACCGAATTAACATTCCCCGGCGGGCCTGTGGCTGTGCAGCTGCCCCAGACATTAAGGATCTGCTGAGCAGACTAGAGGAGCTGGAGGGGCTGGTATCCTCCCTCCGAGAGCAGTGTGCCAGCGGCGCTGGATGCTGTCCCAATTCCCAGGCAGCGGAAGGTAAGGCAGGCCGGGGAGCTGCTCTTGGGGAAACTCTCGTGCTGGCTGTCCAAGTTGTTTAGAGTAGATACTCAAATCTGTTTCAGGAACGAGCACAAGTCAAACCTGTTAAATTTGAAACATAATCAAAACTGGGAATGTGCTTGGCCAGCGCGCAAGGAACATTCATTCACAGTTTCACGGGTTTGTGGATCTGTGGGTCAGAAGTTGGCCTGGGACACTTTGTAGCTGTGGCACCGAGCATGGACAGCACTTGGGCACAGTGACAACCTGAGCTGAGATTAAAACTCACACAGTCCAAGCTCTTGGCTCCACGTTTTGTCCCCTTGAGGAAGCTGCCAATGTAACCATTTTCCTTTCCAAGTTTTCTTTATTAGAGACCAATAAAAATACAGCAGGACATAAGGCAGCAGACAAGCACAAATAGTTAGAGAACCGGGAAAAAAGGTGTCTGTCCAGCTGGTTTTTAAACTGAGGGAAGGGATTGGTCATACAAGAGAGGAAACACAGGTCTTCTCAGGGATGGGTGATGTCCCTCTGAGCACAGAGCTGCTCTCACAGCTGCTGGTACTGACTGTTGCCTGGCTCTTTATGTTCTGGAGTGAATGGGTGAGTAACATTTCATGGTGTATTCCCTAACGAAGCAGTCAGGAAAGCTGCTCAGTCAGTGGAAGAAGATTTTGAGACCAGAGGAGGAATCCAGCATGCTCATTAACCAAGCAGTTGGCAGGGGCTCTTCCCTGGCATTAGAGCAAATTAAGGGATTCCTGGTAAAACAGGATTAAAAAGAAGATATTCTCTTTCAAAAATTTCGGTGATTCTGTAAATTCTGTCCTGTAGGGAGGGATAAAAGCAGCAGAAACAAACTTCTTAACACCAATTTGTAGGTGTTAAAAGGGGCATCCTTTGTGCAGCACGCTGGACATTGCGATCCTCACAAAGTTAGCTCCTCTAATCAAAGCTGCCAAATGACAGGGGGACAGGGCTTTTTATTACACACACTGCTTACATGGTCATTAGATATTCTCCCTTGCTTAATACATTTTCATTAGTTTGTTTGCATAGTCACACCCCTGTTGGAAGTCCTTCTTTGGTCCTTCTGGGTTGTCTTAGTCGTCTTGACCTCAGTTCTTGAGCAGCCACAGCACCACTGTGCTTCACCACTGAAATTGTAACGTTTGTTCTTTATCTGGACACACAGAGCTTAGTTTACATCCTGTCTGTTTAACTTACATCCCTTATCTCGTTCTTGAGGACTCCCCTAAGGTTATATTGCTCCTTATTTGGTCATTCCGGGCTACTGTGAGTAAAGTTTCAATTTCTCCTATCAGGAGTCAGGAAAATCAGAGCTTTTTTAGGCCCTGTGTGCCACGCTGGCCTAAGGCATCCCAGGGCCAAGGGAATAATGGATTGTAAAGGTAAATACCCTTTTTTGCCAGAAGAATTCAGTTCAAGGAGACAGGTGTCACCTAGGAAGCCTTCCCCACCTGGAAAGTGCCTTTCTCAAAGGAATTAGATGGAGTTTGTTTGCTTTCCCTTCTGCAATCCAAAGTTGAAAAGCTCTGTTTCTGTGGCATGCAGAGGGATAAGCAAATGCTGGAGGTCTCTGAAGCCAGTGGGGAGAGCTGGGGGGGGGAAGAGGGAACACCAGGCAAGTCTTGCTCAGGCCCAGCCTCACTTTGCAGCCTGGTGTGGCTCATCCTTTGTAAGCTTTTAGCATTCTCGTCTTCAGACAAACCTTTTTGGGATTCTTTCCGCTGCCTTGAGCATTTCAGGGAGGGGATACCTGCATGATTCTCACCTCACACGGGTTTTTCTGGCTCGTTCTACAGGTCGCCTGGACACCACCCCTTACTGCAGCGGGCACGGCAACTACAGCCTGGAGATCTGCGGCTGCGTGTGCGAGCCGGGCTGGAAGGGCCCCAACTGCAGCCAGCCCACCTGCCCCTCCGACTGCAACGACCAGGGCAAGTGCGTGGACGGGCTCTGCGTGTGCTTCGAGGGCTACACGGGCCCGGACTGTGGCGAGGAGCTCTGCGCCCCGGGCTGCGGGGCCCACGGGCGCTGCGTGGGCGGGCGCTGCCTGTGCCACGAGGGGTTCACGGGCGAGGACTGCAGCGAGCCCCTGTGCCCCAACAACTGCCACGGCCGCGGGCGCTGCGTGGACAGCGAGTGCGTGTGCGAGGAGGGGTTCACCGGGGAGGACTGCGGGGAGCTCATCTGCCCCAACGACTGCTTCGACCGCGGGCGCTGCCTCAACGGGACGTGCCTGTGCGAGGAGGGGTTCACCGGGGAGGACTGCGGGGAGCTCGCCTGCCCCAACGACTGCCACGGCCACGGGCGCTGCGAGAACGGGCTGTGCGTGTGCCACGAGGGCTTCGTGGGCGACGACTGCGGCGAGAGGAGGTGCCCCAACGACTGCCACCACCGCGGGCGCTGCGTGGAGGGGCAGTGCCAGTGCCACGAGGGGTTCCTGGGCGAGGACTGCGCCGAGCTGCGCTGCCCCGGCGACTGCCACGGCCGCGGGCGCTGCGTGGGCGGGCAGTGCGTGTGCGAGGGCTTCATCGGCGAGGACTGCGGGGAGCTGCGCTGCCCCCAGGACTGCAGCAGCCGTGGGGTCTGCGTGAACGGGCAGTGCCAGTGCCACGAGGGCTTCACCGGGGATGACTGCGGGCAGCTGCGGTGCCCCGGCGACTGCCGCGGCCGCGGGCTGTGCGTGAACGGGCAGTGCGTGTGCGACGAGGGCTTCACGGGCGAGGACTGCGGGGAGCTGCGCTGCCCCCAGGACTGCCACCACCGCGGGCGCTGCGTGGAGGGGCGCTGCGAGTGCGACAACGGCTTCACCGGGGAGGACTGCGGCGAGCTGGCCTGTCCCAACGACTGCCACCAGCGTGGGCTCTGCGTGGACGGGCGCTGCGTGTGCCAGGAGGGCTTCGTGGGCGAGGACTGCCGGGAGCGGGCCTGTCCCAGCGACTGCAGCAACGCCGGGCGCTGCGTGGACGGGCGGTGTGTCTGCGAGGACGGGTACATGGGCGAGGACTGCGCTGGTGGTAGGTGGCCGTGTCCCTTTGGAACCACTTCCCCTTGGATGGACACGCTCCCTGTGCCCATCCAGCTGCTTTGGGGGTTCTGTGAATCTTCTCCATGAAGCTGGGCCCTGTTGGGAAGAAGTTCTTTGCAGAGAGAGGGCTCAGCCATTGGAATGGGCTGCCCAGGGAGGGGGTGGAGTCCCCATCCCTGGAGGGGTTTGAGCAGAGCCTGGATGTGGCATCAGTGCCATGGACTGGGTGACAAGGTGGGGTTGGGTCACAGGTTGGACTCGATGGTCTCAGAGCTCTTTTCCAACCCAGCTGGTTCTGTGACTCCGCTCCCATCACAGTGTTACTGGAGCTGGAACCAGCCCTGGCTGGGATTTGTCAGCATGACCTTTCAGTTTCTCACAGTACCTTTTGATGCTGAAAAAAACGGCATCTGAAAGAAACTGTTCTATGGAGAAGAGGGAGATGTTTCCAGAGACTTCTTAATACACAGATGTTTGTGTATTTTATATATATATATGTATATGTCTGTGTATATATATATTAGTTTATACCTGTATTTATTTATACATACATATCTATTTGTATATATGTAATTTATTAATTTCTTTATATGGAGGTTTTATACACATATTTATATATTTATATGGAGGTGTGTATATTCGATCTGACAGAAGCTTAGAGGAAAATTATGGAATCAGCTCTAAAGTCCCACGCTGAGTTTCCCACTACCACTTACACTATGGAACTTGATAGAGAATTTTGGCAGCCAGATAATGACAGGCTTTACACCATAAATGAGGTAGTTTTCTTTAGTAGATCCCAGGGGAGAAATTTCAAAACTAAACTTTTGTAGGGTAATCAAAGAAAGCTTTGGGGTTGGGAACACTATAAAAGACAATGAACACCCTTAAAAAGAAATTCCCATCTTTCATCTCCTCTTTCTGGAAGAGGCCTGAGCCCCATTTTGCGCTCTTGCACACAGAGATCTATTGGCAGTATTTACTAAAATAATAATGTTTGATTTTCCTCTGGAAAATCTGTGCAAATCCCAGGACTTGTAGCTCTACAATCACGTGTTGCTGGCAGTTGAATGAACCATCTGAGCCCCTGGGGACCCAGCTGTAGTAGTCTTGTGCTGCAGCCATGAGAGGAGGAGCTGGAACACAGACAGCCAGAGGTTGTGTGCAAGTGTGAGGGTAGAAATTGGCCCTGTGACTTTTGGAAATGTCTGTGGTCTCCATCAGCTCAACATTCCTCTCCTCAGCAGTTAATTTGTGGGCCGTGGCTTCCCCAGCCCCTGTTAGACAATTCTCATGAAATCCCTGGGAAAATATGAAAACTGGGTAAGTCATTATTTTCTGAGCCATGAAAACTTATAGCTTTATTTCCCTCGCCCCCCCCCCCCCATTCCCAGTGTCTCCTCCAACTGAGCTGACGGTGACGAACGTGACGGATAAAACTGTCAACCTGGAATGGAAACATGAGAATCCTGTCAATCAGTACCTGGTCACCTACGTCCCCACCAGCAGTGGGGGCTTGGACATGCAGTTCACTGTGCCAGGAAACCAGACAGCTGCCACCATCCACGAGCTGGAGCCGGGCGTGGAATATTTTATCCGTGTCTTTGCCATCCTTAAAAACAAGAAGAGCATCCCAGTCAGTGCCAGGGTAGCCACGTGTGAGTTTAATATTCCCTGGATCTGTTCTTTTGCCCATTTCATAGCATGAGTTGATTTGCATGCCTTATTTTGGGGTGTTATGTGCTTTGTGTTTTCTAATTTCAAATCATTTTCATTGATTCACATTCATTTTTTGGGACATTGTTTATTTTTTATTTTCTTTTTTTCAATTCATTCATATTGATTTGCCTCCCTTTTTGGGGACTTCATTTCTTTTTAATTTCTATTTTCAATTCATTCGTATTGATTTGCCTCCCTCTCTTGGGGATATTATTTCTTTTGTATTTTTTATTTTCAATTCATCTGTTCTGGACAGAGACAGCCTTTTGCACTTTCATTTTCCAATGCCAATGACTGTATTAAAAATATAGTTTACAGGCTCTTCTGCTCTCTTCTATGCCTCCCAATTAATACCATGGGGTCTTTGTAAATGAAGAACCTTGGCTTCTTTATTATAATGTACATTTTAAAATTCTGGTCATTATTCCTGAAAAAAAATGATAAAAAATATACAGTGTCTAAAAACCAATGTAAAATCACTTGAATTCAAACTGGTTTGGTTAAAATGGAGATTATATTTGTTTTGCATCTTCAGTTTTACCACAAATCACATTTTATCTGCCCCTCTGTCCTTTTGCTGTTGATCTTCCTTTATATTTTGTGTACATCACACTCATATCTAAACATCCTCAAAAGATGCCCTCTGACTTCTGGCCCTGAGCTCATTTTTAGAGAACTGGGGCAGAATTCAGCTCACCTGCCTTCAAATGTCTGCACCAGAGACATTCAGGAGGGCACAAAAAAGAGGCTTTTCTCGGTCAAAATTCGTTTCACTCTAAGGTGACACCCAAACCAGCTCAGAGGAATGTCCTTCCAAAAGCAGATTAACTGATTGTGAGGTGGTTTAACCATCTCAGCTGCACATCCCTACGTGGCAGGTATTCCTAGTGGTGGAAAGATGCCCCCACCCCGTGCCCTGTTTATGGGAACTTGTCGCTCATGGCAGGATTTCCTGGTTTTTTTCTGCCCCAGATCTCCCTGCTCCAGAAGGTCTGAGGTTCAAATCTGTTCAAGAAACGTCTGTCCAGGTGGAGTGGGACCCTCTGAACTTTTCCTTTGATGGCTGGGAGCTGGTCTTCCATAACATGGTGAGGAAGCAGCTTCACGTGTGGAGCCCACACAGAGTGAAAAAACCCTGGTTTTTTTTTTAACGTTACACTGACAGACTGTTCCCTGTGTTGCAGAAAAAGGATGACAATGAAGACATAACCAGCAGCTTGAAAAGGCCAGAGACATCTTACATGCAGCCAGGTTTGATACCTGGGCAACAGTACAATGTGTCCATTCATATAGTGAAAAACAACACCAGAGGGCCTGGACTGTCCAAAGTGATAACAACAAGTAAGGACAACCTGTATTTGGCCTGTGTTTTGTTGGCCAACAATAAACAACATGGGGTTTTTGGGTTTTTTTTGTTAAAACAAGCTTTTAAACAGAGAGGAAACCAAGCTCTATACTGTGAATTCACAGGGGGTGAAAAGGAAGTTGTGGAGCTGCTAATGAAAAATTAATTCATGAGGGAAATTTAATTCCTTTCCAAATTACCTGCAGAGGAAAGGAAATTTGTGTTCAGACAGAAGGGAGCAGGTAGAATGCACTTTTGCTCTTTTTCAAAATACACAACAGCAGGAATAAAATTTTTTCATCCTGGTGTTATTTGTATGGAGATGGAGAAGCTCTCAGTGTTCCTGCTTGTCTTACTTCTGGTGGCTTCTGGTGTGAATGAATTCTGATGAATTTGCTTCTGATTAAATGATTCCATTTGGAGTCTAAGCCTGTTGGAGGAGAGTAAATGAAATAATAAACTTCAGTTGGTCAAAGTCACTAATTTTAATTTTGCTCTGAATCAGCAACTAAAAGCATGAGAATGTCTGTGTTTTTATGGCAAGATTTCTTTCAAAAAGCACCTTTTCCTCTCTCTTTTTTTTTTTTTTTTTATAACAGAGCTTGATGCCCCCAGCCAGATCGAGGCAAAAGACGTCACAGACACCACAGCCCTCATCACATGGTCCAAACCCTTGGCTGAAGTAGAAGACATAGAGCTCACCTATGGCCCCAAGGACATCCCAGGGGACAGGACAACCATCAACCTCTCTGAAGATGAAAACCAATATTCCATTGGAAACCTGAGGCCACACACAGAGTATGAGGTGACACTTGTGTCTCGTCGAGGGGACATGGAAAGTGACCCTGTGAAAGAAGTGTTTGTCACAGGTGAGAGGCTGGAGACCAGCATGGAATCAGCACATTTGTAGAGGTCCATGAAAGGGGAGAATGTTTTTTCTGTACCTCATATGCTTTCCTGGCCCAAGAAAATATTTAAAATCTAAATATGTTTTGCTAATGGGGTTTAGGTTATTGTGTCTTGTACCCATAAACTCTCAGAAACAAGTTCCTCTGGATTATTTTTCTGTCTACTGAGCTAAAGGTCTTCCATGGTTCCTGTTCCATCTAAGGCCTTACTTCTTGTCTAAATATGTATCAGATTAGCCAAGAACTTCTTTTTTTCCTCCTTCAGTACTGCAAATGTTTCCTGTCATGCTTTTATAAATTGCCTTTATTCCTCAGGGTTCCTGGGAATGGTTCTTGTGAAAGTGTGGGTCCTGTAGCAGGTTATCAAGGTTTGACGCACTAGGGGAGCTGAGAAAATGGTACACAGAGAATTACCTCTCTTTTCATCCTAAAATACAGCTGTTCCTTCAGAGCAGGATTTGAGATGTGAACAATGTAAACCCATTGAATTTCTACTTAATATTCACCTTTTGTTTTGAGACTCAGAGCTCCTTTCAGCTGCAAATGCAAGATATTTACTGAGCAGAAATTCTAGAGATGATCAGTTCTTTGTTCTTAGCATCATTTTTCCTTCTGAAAGTTGAGGCATTTATAAAAGAAAATAGCATTTTCATCCAAATATATTTTTCCACAAGCCTATTTTGTAATAAAAAAATGTTTATTACTATTGAAAATGTTATTTTTGTCTCAGGAGATAAAAGTTCAATTTCTTGAAGTGATGTTTTCTCCAAAGGTGGTGAACTCTCTTTTATGTTAAAAGAAATCTGCTTGTAGTTAAGAGGTATCAGGTGAAGAGAAACCACTTCAGTGTTGAGGGTCATTTTACCTTTTAAAAAGAGATTGTTGTCATAAGAGAAATATTCTTATTTATTTATTTATTTATTGCTTGATGGATTACAGACTTGGATGCTCCCAGAAACCTGAAGCCAGTGTCCCAGACAGACAACAGCATAACCCTGGAGTGGAGGAACAGCCACGCCAACGTTGACAACTACCGGATCAAGTTTGCCCCCATCTCTGGTGGGGACCATGTGGAGATCACAGTGCCAAAGGGCAACCAAGCCACAACCAGAGCTACACTCACAGGTGGGTCACACATTTTAGTTTAGATGTGCTGAAGAAATCTTTCCCTGGGAGGATGGGGAGGTCCTGGCAAAGGTTGCCCAGAGAAGCTGTGGCTGTCCCATCCCTGGAAGTGTCCAAGGCCAGGTTGGAGCAACCTGGGCTAGTGGAAGGTGTCCCTGCCCATGGCAGGGGGTGGAATGAGATGATCTTTAAGGTCCCTTCCAACCCAAACCATTCTGTGATGCTATGATTTTTAAGTGCACCCAATACAATTAAAATCCCTGGGATCTGTGTGTACACACATCAGGTCAGGGTTATCTGAAACCTCAATTCCCTGCATGGTGAGGAAAGCATCTGTCTTACCTTGCACACATTCAGCCTTCCTTGTTAAAACAAATGCCTGGAGGTGTATTCCACGCACAGGAACTCATATTCCTTTTCCTCATCTCTTAGGTTTGAGGCCTGGAACTGAATATGGCATTGGAGTGACAGCAGTGAGGAACAACAGGGAAAGTGCCCCTGCTACCATCAACGCTGGCACTGGTGAGTACCTGACCCACCTGACCCCCCTTTCTGCTCTGGAGGAAGCAACGAAAGAGGTAGAGCCGCTCTTTAATTTTCAAATGATGCAGTAAAAAGTGTTTTAGAAAGTTCTTAATTTCTGTTTGCTTCCAATGGGACATTTTCCCTCAAGGGAAAAACCTCTCCCCCAAAGATCTTGACCTCTGAGTGAGGTTTCTTTTCCTGTCCAAGGATTTCTCAGTGTTCTGGGAGTTTCATCTCCAGGTGAGCTCCTCAGTGGGTAATTGTGCTTACACTGATTTGGCCATCCTCTAGTTGTGAGGGTTCCTGGCAGGTAGTGATGGCCAAAAGGTTGATCTGACAATGAGTGCAGCCTTGGTGGTTGCAAGTCCTGACTGACCTTCAAATCCAGAATTTTTCTCACAACACCCTCCTTTTCCCAGATAAGTTCTCTGAATGCTTTTATTCTGCCTCTCCTCCATGTGAAGTGTCAGTGGGGGAAATCTGTTCTAGTGTGGTTTGTTTGTAAGAAAGAACTTCATCATCCTCTACCCACATGGGCTTCAAAACCCCCAGCAGGTGGATAAGCCGCTGAGCTGTGGCCAGACACCCAGTGGAGATGTTACTCTGTCCATACCTGTGCCAGGGCAGTTCAGAGACAGCTCAACTGTGCTTTTTTTTAACTCGTAGATCTTGATAACCCCAAGGACTTGGAAGTCAGTGACCCCACTGAAACCACCCTGTCCCTTCGCTGGAGGAGACCCGTGGCCAAGTTCGATCGCTATCGCCTCGTTCACACCAGTCCCTCCGGGAAGAGGAGCGAAGTGGAGATCCCAGTGGACAGCACCTCCTTCATCCTGAGGGGGTTGGATGCAGGCACAGAGTACACCATCAGCCTGGTGGCAGAGAAGGGCAGGCACAAAAGCAAACCCACAACTGTCAAGGGCTCCACTGGTGAGTAACAGCTTTATTTGGGGCTTAGAATATCTGTCTCTGCCTGCAGAGCAGACTTAGCCCTGCCTAACACAACACACTGAGGGATAACTGTGCATTTCCCTGCCTACTGTGTTTAGCTTCATGTTCTCAGTGATTTCTTGCTTATTTTTTGAGAGGTTTCACAAAGAACAGCCACTGGTCCTGCATGAAATGCAGAGCTCATACTTTGTTTTACATGAGGCTGAGTTTGGTTTTTTTGTTTTGTTTTGTTTTGTTTTTTTTTTTTTTTTGTGCATTATAACTTGTTTTGTTCTCTACAGCTAAAATCCTAGAGAAAGAGCAACCAGAATGTGTTTGACATTGCTTGTTCCTGCCTAATGAATCCTCTTCACAGCATCCCTCCACCTATCATGCTTCAGCAGGGTCAGCAGGGCTCTGATGTTGCCCTTTTTCAGTTTTTTCATCCAAAAGTAGGAAAGGTGACTGTCCCAAACCTGGTTCCAGCCACCATTTCCACTGGATACTGTGACTTGTATTTATCTTCCAAAAAAGGTCCATTTCTACCATCTCTATTCGTCCAAACCACTCCATCTGACCAGTATCAGTGGACTCCCTGAACGAGGTTTTATTCCCTGTGAAACATTTTGACCCCAAGTTTCTTGCACGCAGAATTACTCCTCAGTCCAGAACACAAATAAATGCTAATCTTTTCATGCCTTCAGGTTAAATCCTGTGAGGCAAAGCTTGAACAACCAGAATCAGCTGGGCTACAATTACCTTTAGCAGATGATATCAAGGTGTTTATCCTTTTCTCCCCATAGACCATCTATGAGGTAAACACATGCCAGACGTTGTGGATTTTACAAATTAGTAACTATAATATATATAATTACTATTAGTATAAATAAATACACTATATATAAATATAATAACTATTTGAACTGGTCAAAACTGGGCTCATATTCCCTGGTAATTCATGCCAGCAGCACTTCTAATGCTTTATAGAGACGATAACCCAGGACAGCAGAGGGTTGTATGGAGTGGTGTAAGCTACAGGAATCCATCAGCACTGAATTAGTTGTTTGATGCCTAAGGCAGGCAGGGAAATGCAGTCCAAGGCAGGGAAAAATTGGGAAGTCTTGAGGCCCAACATACGAAAGGATCTGAAGGTTTATGTGGCAGGAGTGAGCAGGTTGCAGTTTTCCCAGAGTTCTCTGTTTCCCTGCCTGTCTGAAGACTGAGAGGGCTCAAAAGAATTCTGCATAGACGGTAAAAAGGCAGAAACAACCTGCTGTGGAATTTCACAGTCTGGTCTTTCCACCAGCAGCTTCCAAAGCTTCACAAGGTGGCTGCTTTTTTTTTTTCTTCTTCTTCTTTTTCCTTTAGAAATACCTTCATCTGGCCAGTGTATTTGTTTTATGTCTTTGCTCAGAGCAGCCAGTAAACACAGAGCTCTCTGCATTGACATAACCTGTCTGTGTGACCTCCCTCCTACGCAGGAATGGACAAATCCAAACACAAGCACGGGGAGCAGAAGTGCTCTGGAAGCCTGGGCAGCACAACACAAGTGGGCTCTTCAGTTTGCTTTTCCATCTTCCTTCAAGTCACTCCTCTTTTTCCAGTGCTTGGGAGGTCCTGGAGTCCTCAGGCTGAGCAAACAAACCTGTTTCTCTTGCAAAGCTCTGGGGGACCTCAGATCCATCGCCCTGCTGGGGAAAGTCCTTGGAACAACCACGGAGGGAGAGAGAGAGGGATGATTGAAGTGGGAAACGCCAGCAGCACAGCTAGGGCTGGATTGGCTCTTCCCAGTGGGTGGAGGAGACAGTGCTGCTGTTTGGAGGGTCTGTGCCATCCCTTGCTGAACGAGGGAGCCAGCGGCTGCAAAGGGGCTGAGCTTTTCTTTTCAGCTTCCCTTGCTCCTGCAGATTGACAGGTTTTCACCTCATATTCTTCCCCTCCTCTGGGTGGTTCGCTCAGGCTTCTCTGCCTGCCAGTTATTCAGGAGCTTCCCACACCTTATTTTCATTTGCTTGCACCGTGGATTTTATAGCATTTTAAAGCTTTTTTCAGCTCCAGAGCTGAAGATCTTCTCTTGGAGACTTCCTTCTCCTCTCACATTCTCCCTGTTATCTACTTGTGCACATCAGCTCTCCACTTACAGGCAGCTGAAACTCATGAACCTCTAGCAAAGGACATGTCCCAAAATCTTCTGTATTGTAGGATGACAGATGTCTGTTGCTCCTGTCTCTTCATGGGGATGAAGTGCAGCTCAAGTGACTGAGATCTTTTTTAACTGAGACCCATGATTCTGCATTCGAGGGCTGCCAAAATGTCATTTAATTTTGTTGAAAAGGAAAGACTAAACCTTTCCCCCTGCCACTTGCTTGTGTGTCTCCTGTAGCTCTACACAGAGACCACAGCTTTAAAGCCTCGTGGTGTGTGAATACAGGAGTCTGCAGTGGTTCTAGGGTGAAGGTTTGGAGCTGGGCCCACTGCAGAAAATCCCTGACCTCCAAGCTAACAATTCCTAGAAAATCCAGGTGTATGGGTGGGCTGGAGAACAGAGCTCTTCTCTGGAGCTGTTGCTGCAACAGGTACCTCCTTTCTGTTAATAATGAAGATATCACAAAGGCCCCATCCAGCACTAAAATCTGATTCAGAAATCAGCTTTTTTACCAGCTGGGGGGACCTTTGTGGCAGCACATCTTGAGAATGTTCCATCAGATTTCCAGCTCATCTGCAGGGTGAGCACGTCACCCAGCTCTGAGGAAGCTGAGCAGCCAGACTGCAGCTTTGTTCTCCCCTGCTCTGGTTCTGGAGCTCTGCCTGCAGAGCACAATGTGGGTCCTGGAGCAGGGTGGATAGTCATCCATCAGGCATGAGAGGCCTGGGGGAGACAAATGAGTGAACATTAGAGAAACTGAGAGCCAAGCTCGAATTCCTCTGCTGAGGGACCCAGATTGTGCAGCAACTCTTGATGGATCGTGGATGTGATGCTGCCTTGCCTCTGGAAGTGAGTTTGCACATCCGAGCACGGCCTGGAGAAGCAGCTTTTCCATTCTGCTGAATGTTTGCAGGAAGATTTATGCTGTTTACCACAGGCCCTTGTCTGTGTTGTGTGTCAGTCCCTCTTCCTCTCCTGGCTTCTCTCTGCTCTTAGATTGCACCTCTCTCTTTTATCCAAACTCAGAGGAACATTAGGAAGAGTGATTAGGTGAACCAGCTCCATGGGAAACTGCAGTGCTGACCACTGGGAAAGTGAATCTGCCAGGAAGGATGATCCATTTACTCAGCTGAGAGTACCTGGATCCTGACTCCCATATGAGGATTTTAGTGGTAGCTACTGTAGTATTTCTGGTTTCTGATGCTGCAGTGGTCTGTTTATGAAATTCAGAGGTGCACAGGCACTGTAAGCACAGTTTAATTACTTGAGAGAGTGAAAAGTGGTTTAACAAAGGAGTCTGAAAAGAATGTAAATACCATCATATGGTGGTGGGATGAAAACATGCTTGTCTCCAGGTTGCAGCCTGGTTCCAGTCATGTCTGGGGTGATTTAAGGACAGTCCTTACCTAATTCAAGAATGATACATGTGAACATAAATCCCTGTTTGCCTTACAGGCTTCTCTCCTTACTGAGGGTGAGCAGAAAACAATGTTTTTACATCTGTGCTTGCCCTGAGAGTATATTTGCAAGATAACATTTCTCCTTTTATTTGAAAACATTGATAATTGATTTCGCTCCTCTGAAAATATATTTCTTTTTGGTAAATGCGTGAATTTGGAGACAGATAAATGAATCCTGAGTACGTATTTGTGCTGAGCTGATTGATGGTGCTGGATGACTTGCTCTCTCTTAATGGAGTGCAAGTGGAGCATGAAAGCAAGGAAGTCACTGAGGTGTGAAATATGTGGGTTTCCACTAATGAGGAGATAATTCTGCATGTCAAAGAAATCACCTGCCTGTTGCCTTGAGGCTGTGATCACGAACACATTCTCTGTGATTCCACACTCCTCAGATTTTCAGACTCTGACTGTGGTAGAGGATAAGTCAGAGATCATTCAGCATGCTGAAGGCCAAGGCTTTTCCCTTTCCATTCCTTGGGATCTCTCTAAAGAAAGATTGTTCAAATTCTTTCTGCCCTAGTGTTTAACTAAGGATGTGTGACCCCCTCTTTTTTTCTGCATGTATTAAAACCAATGCCTGGTTTTAACTGGATAGGAGGAGCTTTAGCATGGTTCTGCTGTGGCTGATTCCTGGCTTTGGGTGTGTTTGTGGTATTTGGCATGAATCCACTCATGGTTTGTGTCAGAAGCAATGACTGATGGGCTGCAGTAAAGTCAGAAGGAGTGTTTGAGGCTCAGGGTTCAAATCCTCACCGATGTAAATTAACAAAGCTCTTTGGAGGTCATCAAAGAGAACTGATTTACATCAGCTGAGGATGTGCCCCTTTCTCTGCTGGAAGCATTTGAGCTCAGCTCTGTGTTCACTGCATGTTGCTCTGGGCCTGCTGGTTGTTGTTGTTCTTTGAGAATCCTCATGTGCTTGGTGATGCTGCCCCTGCTCGTGGCCTGGATTCAGTCTCCAAAAAAAGGAGAACCCACCTGTTTTCTCTGCTCTTGGAGCTCCTCAATGCAAAGCACCCAAACTGTGTTGAAGCAGATGTAGTTTGGTTTATTGGGGGGTTTATCAGCAGGAAATTTCAGCTTGCAGTTTACCTGTTCAGCACTTCTAGTCACAACACCTGGAGAATCAATCAATGAACCCTCATTTAATCCTCCCATGGTGCAGTCCAGGGTGTGAGGTATTTGGTCAGTTCTTTATCACTTCAAAAGACCTGACCAGTTTGAACAGAACACAGGGATATTTTTGCTGGGAATCCATCGAGAAACAAAAATCCCCTATCTCCCAGCTGGCACAAATTCCAGATTAACCTCCATGGAAGTATTCAAGGCCAGCTCTCTTGGTCCCTGTAAGCCGTGGCTACTACAGGTATTTTCCATGGATTTATTAGCCGTGTTCCTTTGCTGTATTTTAAAATACAGACCCTCATTTCCATGTGGCTGTTCCACTGCAGAGATTCTGGGCTTTGTGAGTGATGCATTTCCCCTTAGTTGGTTTGTTCTTCCTTTTGCATGGGATAAATCTCTTATTGTTATGCAATGAGAGCCTCGAGTGGTGCAGAAAATGCCCCATTCAGCTTTTAAGGTGATGCAGCATCAAATTTCTCTTAGAGTTGCATGTAGAGAGAGATTTTGATGCATTTGCTATTGGCAAGGCATGTGAGAATAGCAAAGTGCTGCAGGTGTTTGTCTGGGATGTGTTTCAAGTGCAAGAAAGATTACAAGAAGATTGCAGCATTGGCATGGAAGTGGTGATGTCAGAGAAAAAAAAAGATTGAAACACATTGGGAGTCACCTTTCTGAAAAATTTTTTGCCCCACTATATGAATTTCATGAGGAATTAAGCCTACAGACACAGAGCTGAGTTCAATAATAATCAAAGTACCAGTGTGTAAGTTCAGATCTGGAGACTCATGACTGCATTTGTCCATCTCTCAAACCCAATTTGCCAACAGGAGGTAAAATATTTACGTGGAAACACGCAGATTATTGTTCAGCAACTACAAGGCCACGACAGCCTCATCTCTCAATGGTTTGCTCTCTTTTTTTTTTTTTTTAAAGTAAGAAACATCATCCCTTGATATTTATTGTGACACTGGTTGTTTTGTCATCTCTGTTGGGTGCTGTAATTAATGAGGCTTTTGGAGGTCTCTAATTTGGTGTGTGATTTCCTGTGAGAATCTCTTGGTCCCTGGAGAGCACGAGGGGGTTGTGGTGCTTCAGTCTCAGAAGTGCATGTGGAACAAATGGGAGGAAAAGGGAGTCTGCATCTTGGAGGAGAATGAGCATTCTTCAGAGACATCTGAATTGTTTTAACCTGTGCTGATCACTGCATTACTCATTATAATCAACATCAAGATTTAACCTTACTGTAACTTCTGGTTTTGTTTTCATTTTAAGGAAATGTGTTTGTTTTATTTGTTTCTGTTGCCACCAACAGATCATTATCTCTGATACAACCAGTTCCTTTATTTTGTCCTGCTTTCTCTTTTCCAGATAACAGTGATATTTTGACAGGATTCATATTTTACCTCAGTGAATCTCCTTTCTGTTCCTGATAAAGCCAGACAGCTCTGGATTAATGCATTTTTCTTTGTTGTTGAACATCATTGTTATTTCATAAACAATCTCTTTCCTTCCAGCAGGATGGGAAAAAGCTCATCAAAACTCTTATGTTCCTGAGTCGCAGCAATTTACTGATTTATTAATGAATCTTGCTGAATATAATTGTGATACATTACTGCTCAACCTCTGAAAATCCAACCCCAGCTGCCTCTGAGCAGTCAGACAATAATCACTTTGTTTTTACAAGGAGAAAGTTTAGCTGAGTGATGCTGCTGAGCTTAATTTTCATTTATTCCAGAGCTCATTTAACTCCTGTCATAAAACATGCATAAAGTTGAAGTTTACAACCGGCAAATCAGATTCTTTCCCCTTCACGCAGCACCTCTTGAAATTCTTAGTCATGCAAAAATGGGATTATTGAGAGAGTTCTTATGACAGTGGTTGAGTCAACTATGCAAATAAATAAGAAATGTGCTGGAAAGTCATTGTAACCCTCAGGTCAATGATAGCTCAGGCAGAAAAAAGCAGGTGTTACTCTGTCACTTCCCCATATCACTGCTGTTGTTAAGGAATCAGTTGTATTTCCTTTGGAACAGAGGACTTTCTACTCTTGCTGAGAAAATGACCTCAACTTTCAGATTTAACAGCATCAGAATCAGCCCTGATGGTTCCCAACTTCCTTGGCCACCCCTGTGGTGGCTTCTGGGAATGTTCATCGCTGTGAATGCACATTTCAATTTTAGATTAATAGCAGCGACTCTGAAAATCCAAACTCCTGTGCCTGCAGCAGGGTTTTGTGCACAGAATAATGTGATATGAGGGAGACAAATCCATTCACAGACATGCAAACACAGAGGCATTTTCCTTCTCTTTATTGTTTTGTCTTAGAAATGGTTTGGAAGCATAAAGAGCATCATTCATGTGGACACAATTAAAAGCATAAACATCTGAATCCCAACTGCTCTAAACTCAGTGTCTTCCTACCCTGACAACACAGTTACTTCAGCATGGCAAACACTGAGCTGTTAGTAGTGTAGTAGAGTGATTATAGTCATACTTACTTGTCTCATAGGGAGGGGTGATTAATGTTGGCATAACACTGGCAGGTGTGAGATGGTCTATAAGCTGCTTTCTGTCTCTTGGTATTAATGTGGATAATATTTATCATTACAGTTCTTTTCTTATTTTTCTGTTTTGCCACGTCTCTAGAGAGACTTTGCTTGTAATTATCTCCAGAGGGACTTTATTCACAGTGATCTGGGGCAGCTGAGAATGTGAACGTGTGTGGGGGCATCTCTGTGAAACCCAGTAACACCCAACATCATTAAACAGCATGACATCACCACTGCCCTGTAACCTGAGTAACAGATTGACTCTCTGTCCTTATTCAGAGGAGGAACCTGAGCTTGGAAAGCTCTCAGTCTCAAAGGCTGGCTGGGATGGTTTCCAGCTCACCTGGACAGCCGACGACGGGCCCTATGAGAGCTTTGTGATTGAGGTGCAGGAGTCTGGGAAGCCCGAGGAGAGCCGGAATGTCACAGTCCCGGGGGGACTGCGCTCTGTGAATGTCACAGGCCTCAGGGCCAGCACACCCTATAACATCACACTCCACGGGGTGATCAGAGGCCACAGGACCACCCCCCTTTCTGTTGAGACCACCACAGGTATCTGTCCGAGCCGCTGCTCCAGTCCCACGTTCCTCCCAGACAGGGAGCTGTTCCAGCTGCTGGCTGGCTTGGCATGGGGGGCACTGAGCTCCTTAAAGCTTGGCTGAACATCTCTGGCTTGGAAATGTCTCAAGGTTAGACTTTCCAGCAAGAGCCTCAGTGCCCTCGTACAGCCCTTCCCCTGTAGGAATGCTTTCCCCCTTCCCAGCTCAGAATGGCTTGTTTTGTTCCCTTTACTCACTTACCTGCTGGTTGGCACTAACACTAAACCCAGCTGGCTGTTGTACATGCTTGGGAAAGCCCAGGTTGCCTGGTAAAATTATAACAAATCATTTCTCTACAGCCCAGATTATCAAAGCCAGGGAGCATGTTTAGTTTTTACCCTGCAGAAGCTTCCTCTGAAATTATGCAGTAGCTTCTGTGTAAATTGAAACTCAGGGGGTGTAGTGAGTGTGTCTGCCTCGAGGGCAAGGACAAACATCTTCTATGTGCTCTCATAAAGGACACAAATTAATTCTTACCAAGAGTAGTATCGTGTATTAAGTCATCTAAGGTCATTAAACAGTCTGATTGGGCTGAAAAAATCTCATGCAAGAAGATCAAATTCAGAACTCCCCTGCTATAGAACTGACCTGAAAGAAGGAAGGTCAACATTTTGTTATCAGAAGGTTGCCTGAAGCTCACCAAGAGCCACAAAAATAATTTCCTGTCTGTTCCTGAGAAAGGCAGCAGTTCTAAATGAGAGCTTTGGCTGTGAGAGGTAAATATCTACTTCCATTTATCCTCGTGGCTCACTGATCCTTCCTGGTGTTCTGATCATGGGTAATGAACAGAGTATGAATTAATTGGAACTAAAGGATCACCAGTGGCTCTTCCTTCAGATAATTTCTTGTAGACAACATCTGCTGCCTCTGGGCTTCCTTACAGACCTTGGCAACCTCCTGTCACTGTGAGATAGCCAGAGCTGGCTCATGCTTGATTTCCCCAAGCACATATTACCCAGCCCAGAAGGGGATGAAAGTCCATGTAAGAACTAATCAGAATTAAAACATGAGATGTTTTAAGAGCTTGATGGTTCCAACAGGCAGAAATGTGTCTGGCACTAAACTCTTGCCTTGGGCTGTGTCTCACCAGAAGTGTTGTGCTTTGAGGGTCCTGAGTGGGAGCTGGTGGCAAATTCCCATTGAAAACAGACCAACGTGGCTGGAAAAACAAGGGAACAGACACCAGGGGTGTCCTGCTTAAATCTGCAGTGGGATCTTGTTCTATTAAACCAGTGAAAACAGCAGAAGATGCCCTGCTGAGGCTTTCTTTTCCCTTTCTGGGTCAGGCTCAGTACCAGGCTTTTCAGAATTTTCCTTTCTAGGGGCTTCCAATTGTCGGAATTTTCTGACCCTTCCTGTAGCTCTACAGGGATGTCCACAGAGAGGAGGAAACCCCAAGGCAGCTGTTTTGCATTTTATCCCTGTTTTGCATTTTGGCTCCAGCTCCAAAATTACAAACCAGCTTAACCTGAAAGGGGAAGTAGAAGAGCAAACAAACCCCAGGATTTTCCTTTGGATAAAGCAATACCTCCAGTTTTAGCTTCTCCTAAAACTGGGAGCTGACTTTTCCAAGTGGATTCATAGAAGTGATTTTTTGCATCCGCTTTCACGCTCAGACCTCAAAGATGTATGGCTGCTCCTGCAGATGAGGGGAACAGCCATGACTTTAAAGCTTTATTTTTCTTTTTAAGTCTTATTTAACAGTTTGTGCTGCTTTCATTTGAGTTCTTCCCCCGCCTTAGTCTGCTTGTAGCAAGCTTTTACTGACACATCGCGTTGTCCAGCTTGGAGTGCTGCCAGCATGGGCAGGGAGGAGCATTTGTGAGCAGCAGGAGGAGGTGCAGGGCTGTCCCTTCTGACCAGTGTTGTTTCCCTCCTCAGGAGAGCACCCTGAAGTCGGTGAGCTCACGGTTTCCGACATTACTCCCGAAAGCTTCAACCTTTCCTGGACAACCAACGGGGCCTTCGACGCCTTTACTATTGAAATTATTGATTCTAACAGGTTGCTGGAGCCCATGGAGTTCAACCTCTCAGGCAATTCAAGGACTGCTCATATCTCAGGGCTTTCTCCCAGCACTGATTTCATTGTCTACCTCTCTGGGATCTCTCGAGGTTTCCGCTCACAGGCAATAAGTGCTGCAGCTACAACAGGTACATGAACCTCCCTCGCTGCTAACTCTCATCTTTTTTCTAACTCTTCCTTACAGGTTGTGCCCCTTTTTCCCTGCCCTCAGCTACCCCATCAGTCCATTGCCAAACCCTCTACCTCATTGTTTGACACCTCCTAAGGAAGATCAACCTGGGACCTTTTGAAAACCGTGGCTGTTAATCCACCCCAAATCCATCCAGCGAAGTCAGTCAGTCATGTCGTGCTGTAGTTTCGGTCACACGATAAGGTTGTTCAAACATTAAGGCTGGGGCAACCTCTGAGGCAGACGAGAAGCAAAACGCATTTCCCAAGAACCAAGAGGGAGGTGATTTGTTATATTCACCCTCCAACACGTGTTTGCATCTGTCACACAGCCCAGAGCAGACACTGTTTGTCTCAGATAAGCTGATTTCTACACGCAGTTTTTATCCTGATTCTCTAAATACGTGTCAGGCACGTTTCAGTCTGTGCCAGCAGAGTCCTGCAAGGCTCATTCACTGCTTGAATTCAGCGTCAGCGTTCAGTTTACATTGGATGGGAGATTGAAAAAGTCCATTTGACTTGATGTCAGCGACTGAAATGGGCAGGCATTTAGTTGTTGGCACACTACACAGCTCAAGGTTTTGCAGCTGACAGTTTTTCCAGAGAAGACAGGGAAGTCACACATTCAGTGTGCTTTATTCAGGGACAGTATGAGAGACTGGACTACAGGAACATTCTCACTGTAGGCAGATAAGAGCTCACACTGGGATCATTTAATGTCTGTGCCAAATTTTGCCTGCCAACATGATCTTAGGAAAGGTTGCCATAGCAATTTGTCATAGCAATAGATTAATGTGGTTGATGAAAGCAGAATATCACATCTCAGTATCAGATAATGCAGTTTGAGTTTCCAGTGTCAGCAGACTGTGAACTTCCTCACTGAGTGATGGGTGGCATGTTCAGGGTGACTGCAGGGGTGATGATATGAAAAACACAGAGAAACACAAGGCTAGATGACCTTTGTGACCCGTGGTCATGGGAATTCAAGCTTCTATATGAATTTATTTTGTTGCTTTGGCTTTTAATAATTGCAATACATTTCCATTTGTTTTTCTTCCCATAGTAGAGGAACCTCTCCTTAGCAAACTCACTGTATCAAATGCTACCTCAGACAGCCTGTCACTCACGTGGGAAGCACAGGACAATGCCTTTGACCATTTTATCCTAGAGGTCAGGAACTCTGACTTCCCTTTGGACTCCCTGGTGCTCACAGTGCCGGGGGCCTCCCGGCGCTATGTGGTGACCAACCTCAAAACTGCCACTAATTACACTGTCCAGCTCCATGGTGTAATTGATGGGCAAGGTGGTCAGACCTTGACAGCACTGGCAACCACAGGTATTTCGCTGTTTCACCTTCCAGGTTTGCTTTTTACTCTCCTTTCCTTCGCTGTCCACTGAACTGCTCTAAAATGTGGCTCCAACTCGTCATCGTTCCTTGGGTAAATTGTAGGGAGAGCACTCTGAAATACACTGAGAATGCTCAGAAAAAGAGATCTGAGACAATGGAAGAGGCTGGAAAAGTGCCCCCAGCATTAAGAGAGTGGTAAACCATGACTGGTTTCCTTATATATACACTTCTCTGCAAGTCCTGTGTATATATAATCGACCTGCTCCAGGTGGTTGGTGGTTTTCACGGAGCATCTTTGCACTTGATCCTGAATGAAGTTGTTGTTCATCCCACCCTCACTTGCCTTGCTGTGGGTGGGAGGCCTTCATGTCCTCCTCAGCCTGGAGAGGCACCTGCATGCCATTTTTGTTCTTCTTTCTTGAAACCAAATGTCTCCCAAGACATTTGCATCTCTTGTGGGAGTTTTCGTGCAGCATGTGAGATGACCAACCAAAACTGCATGGAGTGGTTCTGGTTCTGAGGTTCTTTTTGTGTGTTCCCAGAAGAGAGCAAGGCTCAAAGAGCAAGATCACCCTTTCCTTATGGTCAGCCCACCACTCTCACTTGCACTGCTACCTTTGAGTCTCTCTGACCTGTCTTGTTCCACTGGATGTCAGAGCTTTTCCCGTGGTGATTCCAGGATGGCAGGAGATCACTGAGACTTGCCTGGAGAGATAACTTCGATTTATGTTGCATGTAGCGCTCCCTGGAGTCAGGTTGCCACGATGGGAACGTGCCTGAGCAGATGTAAGTGGCATGTGAAGGAATGTGGCCGTGCCAGGATGAGTTTGGGACGGTTCTGTTTGCCCTCTCTGACCTGCATGTGAGGGCTCCATGCCTGGTTTCCACGGGTTCTCCACCCAACCCTGTTTGCTTTGTGGATATTCTCTCATCTCCCCTATCTTCAGGAGTACCATGCTTACATGGTGACACCTTCCCTGTCAGCCATGAAGGCACTGATGGTCACTGGTTGGTCGCATGACATCTGCATGTGTCCTTAATCGGGGCCACTTACACTCACCTGTTCCTACAAAACTCCAGGGAAGAAAGTGGACTATTATTTAAAAATCTTGCCATGAGGGACAGGAGGAAAAGTTGGAACATCTTGCAGCAGTTCATGTTTTAGTTAAGAGGAAGATTTCATACTTTCCTCATTCTCTCTGTCAGTGGGATGCATCTTTCTGACTTTTCTCCCAGCATGAATCACTTAAATAGTTGGTTTTTTCTGTGTCTCACTGGCTGCATTTCCCAAGGTGTTCTTGGTTTGTGCTCAATTGGCAAGAGAAAAAACAGTAACTCAGCCCAGAGAGCAGCCACAGGATTCTGTGACCATCTGACTGCTGGGTCATATTTGTGCTCTCTCTGTGCTTTAATGAATCTTTCATGATTTCATGCTTCAAAACAGAATGGGTAAGGAGCTCTCCCGCTCCTGGAGGACAACTTCTTCCCCTGGCAGGGGAGAAATGTGATTCTGACTTTCCTCCAGCAGCAAAGTCTTTGCTTCTTAAGGAAGTGATCACTGAAGAGTCAGAAAGGAGAGCAACAGCAGGGCTGGGGGGGTTATTGTTCAGTCTGTTAGATATTACCTGATTGTGCCTGATCAGAGGATAAGGAACACCTTATCTGTGGAGTCCAGGGAGGTTTTGGTCTGAGATTAGTGCTGAGATAATCACTGTTAGGACTGGAATCCCTCCTAAACTTCAGGGTCCAAAAATAGATGTATCTACAACTCCAGGCAACAGAAACACTAAACAGAAGCTGAACTGGGATTTCAAGGATTCCTGCCTGAAATCTACTTTATCTGTTTTGGAACTGCTGTGGGTTTGTATTCCCATCAAATCCCCAGTGTGGAATTCCTATAATTCGTAAGGTTTTACCACAGAGCTGTACTCTGTTGGCGCTTCTGTAAATCAAGCCCACATTTCATTAGGTAAATTGGGTTTATTTAAGAAAATTGAATGAAATTCCAATTTTAAAGCCAGCACTAATTTCAGTGGCTGCTTTCCAAAACCTGACAAAGCAGCTCTTGCTTGTTTTGCCACTGCAAAACAAGGCTAAAACACGCTGAGCATCTCCAAACCTCCTGTGCTCATCCCCCCAGCCCCTCCCAGAGTAACTGCCTCCTCACCTGTGTTCCTTTCTCCCTCAGAGGCTGAGCCACAGCTGGGCACCCTCACCCTCACAAACGTTACCCCTGACAGCTTCAACCTCTCCTGGACCACCAGAGATGGGCCCTTTGCCAAGTTTGTCATTCACATTAGAGATTCCCAGGCGGCTCAGGAGCCCCAGGAGCTCACGGTGTCGGGGGGCACCCGCAGCGCCCACATCTCAGGCCTCCTAGATTACACTGCCTATGACATTAACATTAAAGGCACCACCAGGGCAGGTGTTCACACAGAGCCCCTCACTGCTTTTGTCGTGACAGGTACCTGCCTAAAGCTTTGGAGTCTATTTGTCAGCTCAAGGATATGAATGTTCCACTATGGATAACGAGGAGGGCTCTACAGAGCTGAATATCCCATCCAGCTTCTTTGCAAACTTAGTGCAAGGAGGGGTCAGACCAGGCATGGTGACCTTAAAAAAATTCCTAGGAGCAGTACTGGGATAAAGTGAGTTAAAATGTCAGGGTGGATGGGGCTTGGAGTAACAGGACAAGGGGGAATGTTTTAGATGGGATATTAGGAAGAAAATCTTCCCTGTGAGGGTGGGGAGGTCCTGGCACAGATTGCCCAGAGAAGCTGTGGATGCCCTTGGATCTTTGGAAGTGTCCAAGGCCAGGTTGGACGGGGCTTGGAGCAACCTGGGCTGGTGGAAGGTGTCCCTGCCCATGGCAGGGGGTGGAACTGGGTGATCTTTAAGGTCCCTTCCAACCCAAGCCATTCTATGTTTCTGTGATTAAGACCCCTCTGGAGTCTTTCTCACATCTCTAATAATTTTTTTTGTACTCCTGAAGTTTGAGGGGAAGAATTTGCCTGATGCTCAGCAGTTGCATCTGAAAGATCCAGAAAGACTGGATTTTAGAAGACCTCCCATCCTTTGGTGTCCCCTCAGCACATCCCTCATGTCTGAGTATTTTTGCCCAGGTTTTGACTGGGATCAGCCTCCTAAATGATTGAATAAATGCCACAGAGTTCACTTTCTATGAATCACGTGGCCAGTACGTGCTACTGGAAAAGAATCATAGAAACACAGACTGGTTTGGAAATTGGGATTGGGAGAGGAGGCTCCCCACAGCAAGGGAAACATGTGACACCCTCCTCAGCAGGAGGATGTGCCAGTGGTTCACATAAACCTGCTGGTTCAGAGTGTTGGTGTCACTCAACACCCGTCCTGGGAAAATAATTCCAGCGGTTTGGGCTCAGTATTTGTTTGCCCACCCTCCCAGAGACAAACCCAAACTGTGACTCTGGGATTGCTCGACTATAAGTGATTAAGATGCAAAAATATCTCAAAACTGAGTCAATTCCAGCTGAATCTCTGACACCCAAATCTGTAAATACTAAAACACGAGGAGTTCCAAATCATAACACTTTAAGAGGGAATTTTTATGCCAAATTCCAACATTAGTTTTAGTGGTTGTGAAATGTGAAAACCAAACCCAAAGCCCTTTTCAGGAAAAGGTTCTTTCTTTAACTAAGTGGTATTTTCTTAAGTGAGTGGAATATGAGTGGCTGGAAGATGGGATGAGTCAGGCCCTGAGCCAACAGAGCAGGTTTGACAAACAGTGTAGAGAAACACAAGCAATGCCTGGGCTCCAGAATCAATGCCAGGGCTTAGCAGAGTGAGTAGATCTTCCTATTTGACTTATTAGATTTTGAGTGAGAAAAATACACTGAGAATCTTGTGAAATTTCAGTCTTTTTTTCCCCCCCAAGTCTTGATGGATAAGTTTTGAGGAGTTGATACCTTTGACAAAAGCCATGCTGATGTGAAAATTAAAAAAAACCCTCACTGGAATTTCTTTAAGTTGTCAACATGCCCCACTAGCTTTGACCCTGACTGATTAATGTCCTGCTTCTGGCATCTCTGACCCCTCCACCACTGAAAATTAAAGCTGGGGATATTCATGTGAAAAGTAGAGAGATAAAGAAGCAAAAATACAGGAGTTGTGATTGCCAGAGTTGAGGCTTGTCCCTAAATCACTGATGGTGGAGACAAGTGGAAGGCAAGGAAAGCTTTTGTACAGCATTTCTAAAGCAGTTCAGGTTGTAACTGTCTCCCAGTGCATGTGTAACAGGAGAAATGGGCTTGGAAGGAATTTCAGTGGAGCTTGAGTTGAGGTGCTGAGACACACCCTGGATGAAAACTAAAAATCGAGCATCTAAGTGGAGGCTCCATTGAAAATCCTCATCCTGTGGTCCTGGCTCTGCACTTCTATTAAACCCACGCTTTGGGGGAAAATGTGGTTGTTGTTTGGTGGAACCTGTGATGCTTTCTAATTCACAATATTTTTCACCTCTTTTTTTTTTTTTTTTTTTTGTTTCTGTGTGTGTGTATGTGTGTGTTTTTTGCACCTTCCCTTCTTTCAGAGGCCATGCCCCCACTGGAAAACCTCACTGTGTCTGACATTAACCCCTACGGGTTCACAGTGTCGTGGATGGCATCGGAGAATGCCTTTGACAACTTTCTAGTGGTCGTGGTGGACTCTGGCAAGCTGCTGGACCCCCAGGAGTTCCTCCTCTCGGGAGCCCAGCGCCAACTGAAGCTTAAAGGCCTCATAACTGGCATTGGCTATGAGGTTGTGCTTTATGGTTTTGCCAAGGGGCACCAAACAAAGCCCCTGAGCGCTCTGGCTGTCACAGGTATTTCAACGTGAACAAACTGTTCCCTTCTGACCTCTCTTGCTTTCCTTCTCCCGTGGGAGGTGTTTCATGCCATCCATTTGCAAAGCAAACCTTGGCTTTTGCATCCTTCTCTGCATCGTGGCTCCACGTAACTCCTCGGGACTGGCAGGTTCACCGGGGGAATTCTGGTCCTCTTGTCTTGTTTACCTTTTGGTTCTGTGAGGGGATCCTGTAGAGGAGCATGTTGGGGCCTGAGGGGGGGAAAAGTGTCTGGTCTTGCAGGTCCTTCTAACCAAAGTCTTTGAAGAAGAATGGCTGCATGTCTCGTTAACAAGAATGGGAGCTCCTCTTGTTGACAGCTGCTGGGCACATCAGCGTTCTCCAACAACATCAGCATTCTCCAACAACATCAGCATTCTCCAACCTGCCAGCCAGCAGGACCTTCAGGAGGTCATGGATCTCTTGCCATGACCTTCTTCCTTTCCCTCTCTGTGTGGGTTCCACCCACAGCCTGTCGAGTGTGATCTTTGCCACTCACAAAGTTGGCCTCTGTCTCCACACAGCAGCTCATTTCCAGCCTCATCAGAGCTGCTGTCTTCCAGCAGCGCTCGAGCTTCCTTGGAAAATCATTGCAGATCCTCTGGCCCCACAACCATCAGTTCTCATCTGCATGTGCAGCAGTAAAGCTGGGGGTTATCTGGTTGGTGGTCTGTGAGGAAATACAGGGGAATGTCTCCCTGTGGGAGGAGGAATTGCAGTGGAGATGCTGTGAGGCAGTAGCAGATCCAGCAGCATTTCTCTGGGTAGTGAGGCCTGACCACACTGAGTTAAAGATGTTTTGCAGGTGATTAATGTCTTACATCTCCAGGGATCCTTTTGAGTGGGTTCCTTTACTAAAGACAGTAGGTTTGGGTTGAAGTGTGCTGTGTGAGGGATGTGGATTTTCATGATTCCCCTTTGCTGCTGCAGCAGTTGTTTAACAGCAAAGGACTCATCTGACCAGAAGTGTCACAGATGCCAGAAGTGCATGAAATTAGGGGTTTGCATGGAGAAAAAGACTCTTTCCAGTGGCTTCTGTGTTGTTCTAACAGAGAGAGGCCTGACAGTGTTCCAGGCATGCCTGCAGTTCTATAACAAGCCTGTTTTTATTGTACATGAAGGTGTCACGTAGGTAGGGAGGGAAAAATGCACCATTAGCATGTGTAACTTTGCATGTTGGAGGCAGGGGTTGTATGTCCCTGCAGTGGATTTGCTGTTCAAGAGTGAAAGCTGGAATGGGCCTGCACACACTCACATTTATCCCCTTTGGTATGTTTATAACACTAATTATTTTTTTTTTTTTTCACTAGCTGGCAGATTGTTTCCCTTGTTTGAACTGTGGTTGGATTTTTGCAGTGTGCTATAGCCAGACCTTGGGCAGGTCTCTGATCAACTCATTAAACCCCCATTTCTTCTCCCTGCTGCTATCTTCTCCTTTTTTAGAAGCAGAACCCGAGGTCGACAACCTGCTGGTTTCAGATGCCACTCCGGATGGATTCCGCCTCTCCTGGACTGCAGATGACGGGGTTTTCAACAGTTTTGTTCTAAAAATCAGGGATACCAAAAGGAAATCTGACCCTCTGGAGCTGATAATCCCAGGCCATGAGCGCACCCAGGACATAACAGGGCTCAAGGAGGGTACTGAGTATGAGATTGAGCTCTATGGACTTAGCAGTGGACAACGTTCCCAGCCTGTAAATGCAGTAGCAACCACAGGTATTGTCTTTGCAGTAGGAAAAGTATAACCCATTGATTCCTGTTCTTTTCAGCACCTCTCATTTCCACAGCCAGCCCTTGCTGTTCCTGAAGTGTTTGAACTGTCTCCTGCATGTCCCTTATCCACTGGTTCAGTGTGGTTGTTTATAATCAGGCTCAGATTCTGCAGCTTCATCACTGTCTATTTGATATGGTTTAATTGAATTACTTTCATGATCTGGAATTAGGCAGCAGAGTCTGGCAATTAAAGCGCTGTCTTTGAGGGCCAAGAAATATTGTCTCTGCATCAGCCTTTTTCAGGGATTTCCTGTGGCTAATTACATCTCAGCACTGCACAACAATTTACCTCCTTAGAAAAGAATTACGACAAAATGAATTTACCAGAGCCACTGAGAAGTTTTATTTATGCCTTGATCAGCAAAAGCCTAAGCACCATTAACTTAGACTGATCTCACCAGGAGCAACATGTGCTCAGTAACTCAAATTAACTTGAGTTCCCTGCAATATCAAAGCTGTGATTTAGGTTCGTAATTGAAACATTTCATTTTGGCATGTTTGAATGAAGTGCTTCATTTTTTTTTCCCCCACCAAAATCATGGTTTCATTTTGAAACATATTTAAACCTAAAGCAAATGAATCCATGAGGAAATGAGTCCTGGATGGTCCTTTTGGGTCCCTTCCAGCTCAGGATGTGGCTCTAAGTTCAATGTGTGAGGAAGCCGACAGAAATCACTAGAAGAGGTGTTTTCCCAGCTGTCCCAGAACTCCAGGCAGCACCCAGGGCAAGGGCAGCAACAGCTCAATATTAAATAGCCTCCTGCTTCCCCCTGATGTCTGTTGGGCCGGTTGGGAGCAGCTCCACTGACAGCCATCACACCCCTTGGATAAACAGCCAGGGCACACACTCCCTCACCCAGACATTTACAGGAAGCAGAACATGCATCCATCACAAACTGTGCTCTCTGGGCTCCTACAGTGGGACTCCTAATGGAGAGGGATGTTTAAAGTCCACTGCACTTGGGAGCAGCATGTCCCCATTTCCCCTGACTTCCAGGATATTTATGGTAAACCACCGAGAGTTATCATTTTCCCCATGACTACATTCTTATTCACTTCTTTCAGGGAGATTTATGTCACCTCCTGAAGCCAACAGCCCAAAAGATGTTTGTCAGCTGGAAACAGCCCGTGGATAATTGACAATAGAGCTGGAGCCACAAAAATCCAGCTAAATAATGCAGACTGCAGGTTACACCACATTTGGGTGGTTGGGCTGCCAAGGCATCTAACTAATTTCTTTTTTAGGAGTTGATTACTGCACAAACATATGTGTATTTATAGCATTTCCAGTGTGGTTGCAGAGAAATATTTCCATCCATGAAGGGGTAATTCAGACAGGCTTATACTCAGCCATGCTTGATTCTGGCCTTTGTACAAGTAAGCAAGAAATAAATCAGCTAGAAAATCTTCAGCTTTAGTAGAGGAGATAGTGAAATAACATTTTTCTATGTCTCTCATGTTGGTCCTGCAGCTGGTACCTTGCTTGGAGGCTGAGGTGATCTCCTTTCCTCCCATCACACCAGGAATGTGATGGGAAAGCACTGGGCATGGGAGCTGACAATAAATGTCTTCCCACACCCATCACAAGGAGCTCTCCCTCCATAATTGACTCGTATGTAGAGGGGAACAGCAACAGTTTAATAATAATATCCTCTGTAGAAAATATGGGTTTCATGCTGTTACTTTCCTCTTCTCCTAACGATGTTTTGCCACACTGTGACAGCATTTTTCATCTGAGATGATCTCAGAACACTCCACACGCTCTTTATACATGATAAATGCAACCTGCTGCTTCCTCTGCTGCTTGGGAGAAGAAAGCCAGTGAACAACAAACTCTAGTTTGTTGGGAATGAAGGAACAATTAACAAAACCCATCCCTAATGAATAACAGCAGTGGGGGGCTTTAACAGCCTCACAGGAAGGTTCTGTCTCTCATACAGCTCTTGGAGAATGATGCTGGAGGATAAAGTCAATTAATTACCTGCACCTGCCCAACAGATGAGCTGAGGTTCTTTATGAGTGACAAGCCAGAAGCACATTTTCTCTGCCTGCTTAATTTTGGCTTTCAGGTAGCTCAAGAAGATGATTTTCTTTGCTTCTTTTAATTTCCCTGTGCTCAAAGGTACTACTCTCTTACGTCTCTGGGGCTCATTCCCAGACTGATGCTCTGTTGGTCCATTAATGGACTTTTTTTTGCCAGGTTCTCTCACAGGAAAATTGCTGCTGTTGGGATATCTGGGATTGTGGAAAACTCAGATACTCAGAGCTCTTCTTACCGCTGTTTGTTCTGCACCTGGTACAGAAAACAGGCATGAGCTCCATGGAATTGGGCCCAGCAGAGTCCAAGTGGGATGGATTGGTTATTTTATTTCCTGGGAAAGGCTGGAATTCCCCACATGTGTGAAAATAAGTGCTGGTCCATCTCTTTGGTCTCCAAAGAGCACTTTCCTTCAGCCATTCAGAGCACCTCTAATGTGAAGCAAAATCAATGTGATTTTCACTTCTCTCTGTTGGCCATTTCTTTTTTTTTTTTTGTGCACTTCACTTTCCTTCAGGCTGCCCTTAAAACAGGAACACCTGTAGCCCTTCCAAACCCCACCTTGCTTTGTTTTCTTTAATTCTTTTCTTTCCTTGGCTTTTCCACGTGAGCAAACCCCACAAACACAACGTCTCTGGTGAGCTGCAGAGGAATAATTTACATTTCTCTGGAGAGCTCAGTTGTTTTTCTTTCCTTGCCTTCCAGTTGATTTAGTGCAAGGCTGCTGGAGCTTTGGGGACACATGGAACAAACAGCCCTCTGACTTCTTTCCCTCAGACACGTTCTTTCCAAGCTATTTCAAGCCCAGTCCCTTTTCTTTTTCCCCTCTTCTTGCCCCCCTTCCCTGCCCTCAGCCTGTCTCCACTTCTCTTAATGTGGCTGATGCTTGGTATCAGCCTCTTTGTGCTACTCTGTGAGTGATATTTATTTTTTTTTTAACACACCAGAGTTATTTTGGTTACAGCCAAAAAAGCTGGAAAGTTTGGAAGTGTAATGTAAACCTTGGAGTGACAGGTCCTTCCGCCACGTCCTTCCAGAAGCCCTTTCCATGCTTGTTTTAGAGGAGCTTAATTAAGCCTCAAACTGGAATATTTCAGATATGTGTTGCTTTCATCTTAAGGGTGGGCCATTTTGGTGAAATTTCAATTCATGTGCTCAGAGACAGATTCCTGAAGAATCCAGGAGAAACTCTTGCTGTTCTAGTTTGAAGCCAGCAGAAGTTACAGGCAGTGCCTGGAGGAGCCTTGGTGGACTCCCAGCCTGAGTCCAGGTCTCCTTTAGGATCCTGCATTAGAAACTTTACTCCACTGCCAAGGGCTGGTGTTGCTGTGTGTCACTCTGGGACTCAATGGAAGGTCTAAAAATCATCCAAGTGAAACTGAGGTAGAAAAAGCACTAAATGCAGTCTTTCCTGGTTAATAGAATGGCAATTCTATAAATATTCCTCTGTGCTTTTATATAACATCTCTGTACACGTTGTATTTTAAAGTTATGTACTACTGTAATGGTCCTGAAAACAGGAGAATTTAGAACCAAGCAAGTGGTTGCTGTGATAAAACCGTGAACAGTTTGGTTGCATTTGTGTTATTTAGGACAGATCTTTGATAACCACCAACCCTTGGGATAGAGGGATAAGACAAATCGGTATTCCAGCACTAAGAGGCGATAACCAAACCATTTACCTTCTCTTTTCTGCGTGGTGTGTTCTCCTCTGACAGTCGTGGGGTCTCCCAAGGGAATTTCTTTCTCTGACATCACGGAAAATGCTGCCACGGTCAGCTGGACACCCCCCCGCTCCCGCGTGGACAACTTCAGGATCTCCTTCGTCCCCGTCACGGGAGGTGAGTGACCCTGAGGAGGGACAGGGAGGCAAGAGGGGGAACAAAAAGGGTTTGCTGTGCTGACATCCCCCTCTCAGTGCACACCCCAAATGATTTTTACACAATCAACTCTTTTTCCTGCACACCAGGAGGGTGGGTGTGGAACCAACAGTGCCCTCATTTCATGGACAAGAGTGGTGAGGGAGCTCAGGGGGAGATGCTGGAATGGTTGCTCTCCTAACATGTCTCTGTCTGAGCCTCCTCCTGCTTCCAAGCTGCCTCATTATTTTGTAGGCACTTTATGAGCTAAGCATATTGGAAAAGATGGCCCTTGGAAATAATAATCATAATCCGTGGTTATAAGAGTTTTCCAGTGCAGTGATTTTACTTAGAACTCCCCAGGGTTGTCTCATTCCACCCATTATAGCTCTGGTTTAGTGTTCAACTTTAAAAGCTCCCCGAACTTAAACTGATTTTTAGCATAATTTAGGGACATCTCTAAAGGGAAACAGCTAAAGAACAAACACTAAGGATGTCAGGAACAAAAAAGTCATGCTGTTGACAGAGACAATTAAAGATTTATGCCTTCAGGCAACATGAACTGTAAGCACATGTGTAATTTTAAATATATAGCAGTTCCACAGAAGAAAAGGAATCCACAGTCATAGAGTTAGGCACTTGTCTAAGTGCTTCCCTGGAATAAACCCAGAATTTGAAATAAATCCATGTCCTAAGTCTTCACCACACATGCAGCACCTCTTAAAATAATATAGGATACATCCTTATTCCAAATGCAGTGGGTAAAGGAGGAATGTCCAGCCCTTACCAGAAACAAAGCAGGTCTAAGCTTCAAGTCCTGTCCTTGCAGGTGTTTGAACTTCCATGTGGAGAGTGCTGTGTTTTCTTCTTACACCTTGTTCTTGAAATTGGATTTTTCTGAACAGAAATCCTGAAATCACTGACTGGTTTGGGCCTGAAGGGACCTTAAAGCTCATGTCATTCCACCCCCTGCCATGGGCAGAGGCACCTTCCATTAGAAATATTACTTTTTTTCTCACTGAATACAAACCAATTTCTTAGATTTGGGTGTTATTGCATCAATATTTTGCCGTGAGGCTGCTCTTTGACATCAGTGATTGTAACTACCTGGGAAAAGTCTCCTCTTCCTGTACAATGTCATAATGTCTTCACCTAGAAATGCATTCTTCAAGCTTTTACTGGAGGGTTGTGTCACTAATCCCTTGGCATTTGGCCTCTTCCCAGGAACTCCAAATGTTGTTACGGTCGATGGAAGCAAGACGAGGACCAAGCTGGTGAAGTTGGTCCCGGGTGTAGATTACAACGTCAGCATCATCTCTGTGAAGGGCTTTGAGGAAAGTGAGCCCATCTCTGGCATCCTGAAAACAGGTAATCCAGAGGGAGGAAATAGCAGGTTTTCAAATGTCTCACCTGCAGACCCACTGAGATCCCATTTCTGCTGTCCACACAAACCCTGAGAAGCTTTTTGCCCGCTCCTTCTTGATGCCTTTGCATTTCAGATGAGCATTTAGATGCATTTTAGAACTTGTAAGTTTGATCAGGCTTCCACTTCCTAAGTGCTAAACCAACTTGTTCATGTATTTACAGTCCTAATTCAGCAGGAAAAAAAAAAAAAAAACCAACCCAGAAGTTTAATTAATGCCATTTTTGAGATGAGGGAGCAATGATGAGACCAGTTTCTGCTGTGGAGTCAAACTCCACATCTCCCATGTTCCAGCCTGTTCTAAGCATAAAAACATTCTCTCTCCTATTTTTTCTTCAGTGGAGCTTTAAATATCCCTGCAGGAAATGAGGTTCCACTCTGCTCCCTGCACCCTTCATTCTTCATTTCTGGGGGTTTAACAGGCATCCAGAGAACTGAGGCAAGGAGCAAGATTATGAGTATCAGATAATAACAGCAGATTTATAGCCCATTGCAGGTGTTCTGGAGGGAGAGATCCATCCTAATTCAGGGAGAGCATAAACCCACGTGAAAAATAGAGTCCTACAAGGAGTCAAGGCAGGACATGGGGAGATTTTGGGTGGTTGGCTGGCTGTGGGATTGATTTATTTCCAACTTGCAGGGCAAGCTGCTGGAAGGTCACAGTGGCCATCAGTTGCTGTCACTTTAGTTATTTTTCCCAGCTCTGTCTCCTGAGTTTGCTCCAAAAACAGCCCAGATTTGAGAGTGTGGAGAGAAATACATCAGCTCTGACAGAGCTGTTAAGATTGATGGTATTGAGGCTGATGTGAGAACATGGTTAGTTCTCTCTGTTCCCAGTGTTCCATCTCCCCAGGCATTGACCTCCCTTTCCAGTGGAGGCTCTTTGTGTCTCTTTATAGGCACTGACGTCTTTCCTGAGGAGCTCCACAATTCCAAAGGGGATCATAAAAGCTGCACCAAGGCATTTTCTATCATATATTTACAACAGAGTCGAGAATATTCGTCTAATTTCTTCAATCTGGTTCTTTTTCTCCAGCTCTGGACAGCCCCTCAGGCCTGGTAGTGGTGAACATCACCGACTCTGAGGCTCTGGCAACCTGGCAGCCAGCAATTGCTGCTGTGGATAATTATGTGGTGTCCTATGCTTCTGAGGAAGGTGAGAAGAGTCAGGGATGACTGGGGAGGTGGGGGGTTACAGCTCTCCAGAGATGCTCAGGTGTAAGTGCCACGAAGATCAGAGACTCACAGAGTATCCTGAGTTGGAAGGGATGGCCAAGGATCAGCCAGTCCTGCCCAGGACACCCCAACAATGCCACCCTGTCCCTGAGAGTGTTGTTCAAACACTCCTTGAGCTCTGGCAGCCTTGGGGCCACGACCAGATGACAGGGGGCTGTTATTTGAAGGAGGTGCCTTGCTGGAAGCATTTTAAAAACTCTCATTTTAGTTGAGCACTTTCAGTTCAACCACGGACAGAGAGAAGGGAGATTCTTGCGAAGCAAAGGTGGTGCTATAATTCCTGTGAACACTAGAGAGTGCTCATACTTTTAGATAAAGGTCTCTGGTGTTAATTCAGAGCCAGCAGAGGTGCCAGCACAGAGCTGGGCTCTGAGCTCTTACTATTCTGCAATTGCACCCAGCCAGTCAAAAAACAAATCAGTGAATAAATCAGTGGAGTCGAGCATGGCGTGAATGCCTGAATGATGCTTCTCTTCTCATTTTTTTCTTGTCATCTCTTCTGTGTTTTCTTCTCAGAGCCAGAAGTCACTCAGATGGTGTCAGGGAACACTGTGGAGTATGACCTGAAGGGCCTCCACCCTGCCACCAAGTACACGCTGAGTGTCCACGCGCTGAAGGACACGCAGAGGAGCGAGACCCTCTCCACGCAGTTCACCACAGGTGTGTCCCACCTACCTGCAGGGACAGCTGCCACCTCTGCCAGTCCCACCTGCCGCTGCTTTCATCAAGCCAGGCAGCACATTGTGCTTTTTTCCACTAGAAACCTGAATGTTGGCAGTGTCTGCATCTCACTCGCTCTGGTGGAAGCCTAGAGGTGGTTCTGTGTCACCAGTCCTGGAGACTCAGAGCAGGGGATTTTCTTTAAGGGATGATGTTGGGCTACCAGTGTTAAAGGTGCCCAGTTGGTTTTCCATGAGCATCCATGAAATTATGGATATTCCTCATTTTCCTGCCTGTACTTGGCTTGTCCCAGAGAATTAACTCGAGAGCCAAGAGCTGAGCCACCCCAGTCTAGAGTTATAATCACAGTGGAGAAGGAAATGTGTAGCCAGACCGAGTATGAAAAGTTTCCCTCTTCAAAAGAGTCATCATTGGAACCAAAGATTTATTTAATTGTATTTTATTTTATTATATTTTATTTATATATTCTCTCTATATAGTATATAATACATATTATATAAAATATATATTATATTAAAATATATAATATATGTTATATATTTACAGTATATATTATATAAAGACACATTTGTGTACATTTTATATATTTATATATTATACAAATATATATTTTATATTACACATTTTTAGTATATATTATGTAAATACATATATTTGTATGTATTTAATATATCTATATAACTAAATATTTATTTATTTATACAGCTATACCAATCTGTCTTCTTGTGTGAAATAACGAAATGCACAATTGTGTTTCCAAAGACACTTCAATGCAACTGCTCATAAACTAAAAGGCCTGGGACAAGCCAATATTTTAACTTAGATAAAGCCAACACCTTTATGTTTAACCCCCCCAATGGCAAAATTGCTTTTTAATCACCAAATTTAGGTGGAAATGTTTTTTAATTTCAAAATTTCCGTGGAGGAAAGGTTTATTTTTTCTGGCCTGTTTTAATGTGCTGCCCATAAGATGGTCAGTGTGTTAGAGGTGTGATTGCAACTGCTCTGGTGTCTCCCTCAGGCCTGGACGCTCCAAGAGATTTAAGTGCCACTGAGGTTCAGTCAGAAACAGCTGTGATGTCTTGGAGGCCTCCACGTGCTCCAGTCACTGGGTATCTCCTGATTTACGAGTCCATTGATGGCAGAGTCAAGGTACAGCACTGGGAACCAAATCAGAGGGGTTTTGCCTCAAAATTGGGCAGCAGAGATACTCTGAACTGTCCAGCAATGGGACATAATCACGTGCCTTAAATTAAATATAGTAAAATGCTAATTAGCTCTTTCAGTGCCAGACTGAACACAAATGCGTTTAGAACTGCTTAAGTACTTTCCTACATCATTATTCCCTGGAACAGGAGCTCTCCATTGCAACCTGAATTTTGACACTCACCTCTCCACAATGCAGATTAAAGCACAAACAAGGGTTTTTCCCCTCATTCCAAACCTGTGTTGTGGAATAAACTCGCACACCCCAAAGGATGGCATTCCCCTTTCTAAACTCAGGAGAACCCATCCCTGGGGTCTTCTAAGGCAGGATGAATCACCTTTGGAAGTGCCTCTTGTTCTCCAGTATTTTTGTTCTGCTCCTACATAATTAGATGACACCAAGTGCTTGAATATGAACCAGGTGAATTCCAAGAAAGAAATCCAATTTTGAATGCCCAGCCTGGTACATCAGAGACAGTTCTGAATTCCAGGAAGGCAAATTCCCTAAGCAGACTGAAGATCAATCTTTTACTGTGACAGAAAAACAGCCTTTCAAAGACTGGAGTGTAACATTTCCTTGTCCTAAAGGATGATTCTTCCCAAGCTTTTATGACTTTCACAACATGCACGTTCAAGGCATGTAAACATTTCTGCTGCCTTGCTTTTAAACCACACAACTTGTGCATTATGATGGGAAAAACTAATTTCCAGGCAACTTCTATTGAACTTTTAGGGAAAGTCAGCTTGATAAAAATCTTCAAGGAATAAGTTTGTATTAATAGTTTTGTGTTAATTAATCTAGATGATTAAAAATATCATAAATAATTACCACCAAAAATGGTGTGACAGCCTAAAATATGTAACCATTCTGGTCATTATGCTTTTCTTTTTTCTCTGAGATTTCCCTGTATTGTTTTTCCTCTCCCTAGGAGGTCATCCTAAATCCTGAGACAACTTCCTACAGCCTGGCAGAGCTGAGCCCATCCACCCAGTACACCGTGAAACTCCAGGCCTTAAGTGGATCCCAGAGGAGCAAAACAATCCAGACTATTTTCACCACAAGTAAGGACTTCAGAGCACGTGCCCAGCTGAAATAATCTAAATTACTGCTCTCAGGACAGAGCTGAGCTCTGCAATAAGGACAAACAGACCTCATAGAAGAGTTTAATCCTATTTTTATTATGCACTTGTAGAGTTGGTGCAAAGTCTCCAGAGTTCCCCCTGAGCTGTCATCTGCTTTCCCCAGACTGGCAGGATGAAATTCTTAACTAATATTCATCCACATCACCTCTCTCTGATGACACATCCTGCCTTTCCCATGTAAAATATCAAAAGGAACTCTTTAAAATCCAGCTGACACCCTGATTTGCCTCTGAGCTGAGAAAGCAAATCAGTGTTTTGAGCTGAAATGAAGCAAACCACGAACACACGTGAGTTCAGTGGTCTGAGGAAATGAATTTCTGGGCAGTTTTTCCTCCTCTTTCTGGGATGAGTTGTCTGAAAGCCACCCTGCTCCAGCCCTAACAGGACAGCTCCCCAGTGAGCTGGATGCAGGAATAAATTGCCTTCTCTGACTGGCTTCTCCCAATTAATTTATTTTTGGGTGAAATCCTGTCTTTATATTCCCCCTCCCTTTTCTGTCCCCTGATGAGAGATTGGTAGATTTGTGTTAACCCAGAAGTTGCTGTACCAGAGCTCAGGACATTTCAGTATTTAGCTGGAGATGCATTCCCTCCTTGTGGGGACTTTCCTGGCATTCCCAGCACTTCCAAAAGTGCAGACAGATGTGCAAAAGAATATCCAGAAGAAGAATTTTCATCATCTGCTTTTTCCTGTGAGTGTTTTATGGGCTGTAATCATAAACCTGTTTGCAGGTTCTGTACCTGGCTGTGCCCTTGACCCACTTGGCAGTGGATTCTCCTGACTCATCTGTATTAGAAATTCCTTGTATTCTTTGCTGATATTTTTAAGGACTGCTCTGTCTTTTCTTGTGTGTGCAGCTGGGCTGCTCTACCCTTACCCCAAGGACTGCTCCCAGGCCCTCCTGAATGGAGAAGCCACCTCTGGGCTCTACACAATTTACGTGAACGGGGACAAGGCTCAGCCTCTGCAGGTCTACTGCGACATGGGCGAGGATGGGGGCGGATGGATTGTGAGTATTGGGCAGCAGATCCCACCCTGCTCCTCTGGGACATCCCTCAGAGTGTTTATTTTATCGGAGTAGGGCTGACTTGTCTATAAATCTGGGCAATTTTATCCTAAAACAAGGTTACCAGCTCTTTCTGTAGCTGGAGGAGAGAGAGGAGTCTCCAAAGGATGGGTCACATCAGTGGTTTGAGCAGCTTGGAAAGGCACTGATCCCTCTCCACTGGCTACAGGGGCTGAAATGGCCATCTTAGATTGCTACACACCTTCTAAATAGTTAACAAGATGAGGGGAAGGGGAACTGACTTTATTTGGATAAGAGAGAGAGTGAAGGAGGTTAAAGCACAGCCCAGGAGGAAGGTTTGTTCAGCACATGGAGTGGTGGCCAACCAGGCTTCCCAGGCCACTGCACAAGGGACAATAAAGGAATGGCATTAAAAATGTGCTGATATCCTCGAATCTGAACGTGCCAGAGGGACCCAGGGCACAGGAAGGAAAAAGGAGCTGGAGAAATGCCTGGCTAGGAGAGAGGGAATGGAGAAATCCTTTGGCTGAGGAACACAGAACTGCCAGAGGGTTGTTAAAAGGGCAGAGAGCAGGAACTGAAAGGCAACATCAGGTAGGGGAGCCTGGGAACCCAACAGAGAAACCAGAGCCTTAAAAAACCAAAGGAGCATCCAACAGTCTGGGTATAATTCAGTAACTATAGTGAGACTCTGCTTTGGGTGGTATAAGAGGGAGGGAAGGAGTGTGAAACTCTTGTGCTTGCAAAAGCCCCAGGGCTTGTCCCCTCTCTGCCCAGGGCAGTCTGTCCATAACAATTGTTCCATGTGGGGTTGTAGGTGTTCCTGAGGCGTCAGAATGGAAAGGAAGATTTTTACAAGAACTGGAAGACTTACGTGGCAGGTTTTGGAGATCCCAAGGATGAATTCTGGATAGGTGAGTGGCAAAAGTTTGTCCTTTTTTTTTTAATTAAAAAAAAGACCAGAAGATTAGGAACCACTTAGAAGCTTCCACTTAGTTGGCAAGAGTGTTTGTAAAGGGGAATGGGGTCTGGTGGAAGGAGAGCAGGGGCATCCTCTGTGCGGGGGGCTGAGGTCCAAACCTGTCCCTCCCACTGCAGTTCAGAGATGTCATGTTTGGGTCACTACCCAATGCCCACTGGTGCTCTGGAAGAAGTCACAGTTAACCTGAGAAGTAACTGCAAACCACCTTCTTCCTGTGCTCCTGGGACACCCCCAGCAACAGAACCTTGTGATTCAGGGGAATCCAAGCATGGAAAATAGACGTAGAAAACCAACGTTTTGGAAAAGAGAAGTGAATCTCCTCACACTCAGGAAAATAGAAGTAAAAAGCCTACATTTTGGGAAATATAAGTAAAACCCCCACATTTTGGAAGGTGGAAGTAAAACCCCACGTTTTCGAAGACTGTGCAGCATTTTATTTGGTTGTCAATGAAAGACAATGATGATCACACGGCACAACTTTGAGTGCTTCTCCCAATGGTCTTCCTGCTTCTCTGGTTGCAAGTTAAGAGCTGTCTCAGTCAGCCTGGGTTTATTTATTTGCTGTTGTGCTGCCATCACCTTAAAGCTGAACTTTCCTCCCCAGTGTTTGTGCCCTGCTCTGTTCCTTCAGCCTCCTCTGCTCCCATTTACAGGATGACACGATGGCAGAGAAACAAAACACGGAGAGACAAACAAACTGCTCCTTTTTGTCCACAGGTCTGGAGAACCTGCACAAAATCACTTCTCAGGGGCAGTACGAGCTGCGTGTGGACCTGAGGGACAAGGGGGACACAGCCTATGCTGTCTATGACAGGTTCAGTGTGGGGGATGCCAAGAGCAGGTACCGCCTCAGGGTGGATGGGTACAGTGGCACAGCAGGTGAGAGCAAATATTGATCTTTTTCCCTTCTCATTTATGATTTCTTCCTCACTGGCTCAGTGTAATTATGTGTGTGTTGACCAGTTCACAGCAGGTACCTTTTCTTTGTGTAAGGTGTTTGAAAATAGGAATGTATCAGTGTGTTTTATGGTTCCATTTTAAATCCTCCAGTCATGTTGGTGCCACATTTCATGGCCTGCTTATGACAGGATTTAAACAAGTATATTAAACCACAGCATATATCTCATCTGGCCAATCTTGACCCTCTTCTGTGACATTGATTGTTTTCCTTCTCCTTTATGGTTTTCTCCCCATTGGCTTGTGGTAACTATGTGAATGTTAATCACCAGCACAGCAGGTACCTCTTCTCTGTTAGGTGTTGCAAAATATCAGTGTATTTTATGTTTCCATTTTAAATCCTCCAGTCATTTTGGTGCCACATTTCATGCCACGCTTGTGACAGGATTTAAACAAGTATATTAAACCACAATATATCTCATTTGGCCAATCTCGCCTGTCGTTTATACAGCTAATAATAGCTTGGCACAGCCTCATTCCTTGTCAGTAGAATTTGCAGCAAAGTCCTGCTTTAACATGATTTATAATTTTGTTGAACAAATCAGCTGCCTTTTGTAATCATGCTGGGGCAAACCCTGCAGCCCTTACTGAGTCCTCTCCAGGGCTTCAGAGGATTAAGAGATAAATCCAGTTTCACAACCTGTCTTATAAGGAGATAATTTCACGCTGCTGGTGCAAAGATGTGTGTGTGGGCTCTGTCCTGTGACCAGCACGTGAACTTTATGCACAGACTGTAGAGGTACAAAGGATATGCAGCAGCAGAATCAGTATCTGTTTAGTTTAGGCGGGATATTGGGAAGGAATTCTTCCCTGTGAGGGTGGGGAAGGCCTAGCACAGGCTGCCCAGAGAAGCTGTGGCTGCCCCATCCCTGGAAGTGTCCAGGTTGGAGCAACATGGGCCAGTGGAAGGTGTCGCTGCCCATGGCAGGGGGTGGAACAAGCCAATCTTTAAGGTCTCTTCCCACCCAAACCATTCCAGAATTCTATGATTTAAGGCAAATACACTGGCGCAGGTTGGTAGTAGCTGCTACAGCTGGTAGGATTCAGTCAATGTGGAGACTCCTTTGGTTTTGATTCCCTCCTTGTGACTTGGTTTGTCCACACTGTACAGGGCCAAAATCCAACTTTCAATCAAGCTGCGTAAAAACAAAAATCCACTTAATATGCTGGGGATTAGAAACCACCTGGAAAAATACTTTTATTTGCCTGTGACAACAAAAATTGTGTATTTCCTTCTGTATTAAAACAAGTCAAGTTATAAAAACTTAGATACACAGCCAGGCTTTAGAGAGTGCCTGGCAAAGTCCAAACATTTGCTCCAGAATGGGTATTCCCGTGAAAAACCAGGCAAAACACTGACCTTGCTCTTTCATCTCCCCCCATCCAGGTGACTCCATGACCTACCACAATGGAAGGTCCTTCTCCACCTTTGACAAGGACCACGATTCTGCCATCACCAACTGTGCTTTGTCATACAAAGGTGCTTTCTGGTACAAGAACTGCCACCGGGTCAATCTGATGGGCAGATACGGGGACAACAACCACAGTCAGGTGAGTTTGGAAGCTTCTGTAATCCAGGAGAAAAAGGGGAATTGCAATAATGGATCTGTCTTATCGTTCAGCCAGATATCAGAGCACCAACCCAGCCCATTCTCTGGGATCACAGAGAAACACACTGGCAGTTGCTCACAAAATAAGGATTTAACATCAGCAGTTGAAATGTTGATACTTTTGTCTGGTTTCCCAAGAGAATATCCCAATGTGCAGGGAACAATTAGAGTTTTCAATATGTGAAGCAAAATGTTCTTCCTGCCCTGAAAGATGGACAAGGAGGGACAGCTCTGGGGGCTCAAGATGCTGGACCTGGTCCAGGGCAACCCCTGGGTCAATCCAGGCTGGGAATGGGCAGATGGAGCAGCACCTGCTGGGAAGAAAGGTCTGGGGGTGCTGGTGGGGGAGAGGTTGGACATGACCCAGACCAGAAACCCCCATGCCCTTGGCTGATCCCTCAGTGTGGGCAGCAGAGCAGGGGGGGATTCTGCCCCTCTGCCCCCTCAGGTGAGATCCCACCTGAAGAGCTGGGGAACAGCCCTGGGGAACAGCACAGCAAGGACATGGAGCTGCTGGAGAGAGGCCAGAGGAGGCACCAAGATGGTCAGAGAGATGGAGCAGCTCTGCTGGGAGGAAAGGCTGGGAGAGCTGGGATTGTTCAGCCTGGAGAAGACAAGCTTTGGGGTGACCTGATTGTGGCCTTCCAGAGCCTGAAGGAGCTACAGGAAAGATGAAGAGAGACTATTTACAGGGACCTGAATGACAGGACAAGGGGGAAGGGCTTCAAACTGACAGAGAGGAGGTTTAGATATTAGGAAGAAATTCTTCCCTGTGAGGGTGGGGAGGCCCTGGCACAAGTTGCCCAGAGAAGCTGTGGCTGCCCCATCCCTGCAAGTGTCCAAGGCCAGGTTGGACGGGGCTTGGAACAACCTGGGCTGGTGGAAGGTGTCCCTGCCCATGGCAGGGGGGGGAACAGGATGCTCTTTAAGGTCCCTTCCAACCCCAACGATTCTATGACAGCCTGTGGGTGGGTCTGGACAGGTTGTACATTCCCTGGGCTTCCCAAAGCCCCTCCTTGTTGTGCCCAAACCAGAAAACAACCCCAGTGTGAAAGGAAAGCAGCAAAGTCTGACCACAGGAGTGAATGTGTGACCCACCACTCCCCATCTTCTCCTTCCCAGGGCGTGAACTGGTTCCACTGGAAGGGCCACGAGTACTCCATCCAGTTCGCTGAGATGAAGCTGAGACCCTCCAGCTTCCGAAACCTGGAAGGCCGACGGAAGCGAGCGTAGAGCCCCGGGGAGGGCAGGGGGATGGGGGGGGACAGATGGACAGGGGGGTGTGAGGAGGTCCTGTGGCACGGCTGGGGTGGCTCTGAGGAGCTGGCAGCTGTCCCAAAGCACGGGTGACCCGCGGCCCCGTTGCCAACAACAGGCCTTAAACACCCCGGCTTAAATATTCCAGCTGCCCAGCAGTAACGTCCTCCACACCAAAGACAACCATCTCAAGGGTTGGATGTTGGGTTAATTAATTTTTTTTTTTTTTTAATTATTATTATTGGGTTTTTTTTCCCAGAAACGCTCTGGGCTCAAAGTTCTTCCACGTTCTGAGTATCTCTTAGGTGGCCCAGGGGAGGGGAGGGAGAACAGCTTTGTACATTGGTAGTTTGTTTTAGAACCAGCCATATTTTACACAGGGAAATGTGTTAAGATTAATTGTCATCATTATTATTATTATTATTATTGTTGTTGTTGTTGTTAGTTATAATGGAAATTTGTCTGTTGTTTGAAAGCCTTTTTTTTATATATATCAAGTACCACAGAGAAAGAGGGGATGGGAAGGGGAAAACAGTTTGATTTTAGGCTTAAGCATGAGATTAATATTATTAATATAAAGACAAAGTAATAATAATAATAATGATAATAATAATAAGCTATGTTTTTGTCATTTTGAAGAGAACCATGCTTTGGGAAACACAGCAGGACAGTGTCTGATTGTAAATTTTTTTTTTTTATAAATAAAAGCACAATTACTTTTAAATAAATTTCTACCTTTTTTTTTTTTCATACATGTTGAGTTTGTGCATGTCCAGGATATATTTAGATGGGGACATAAAAGACAGGCTGAGAATGATAAGGCTGCTGAGCCCCTACTGAAAACTGTTCCTTTAATCAGTGACTGGTTGTAAGTATTTTGGTGGGTTTGTTCCAGTGAAATGCCCGCGAGGATTTGGTTGCTTTCCAAAACTTTTCCTGCCCGAAAAACCTCTTACTTGTTTTTCTGAGTGTTACTCCCTCCAGGTGGGAATAACTAACAAATGCAAGGAGAATACAGAGTTGTTGTTAGGAACCATTGGCAGCTTTGAACACTTATGTAAATAAAGGGCTCTCTCTTTTTTTTTTTTTTTTTTAATATGATGAAAATAAGTGTAGTTCCTATGTATCACCCTCTTCAGTTGAAGACAATAAAAGACCTTTTGTTTTAATCCAGTCTCTCTACCCTACTTCAAGGTTGCATTTTTCAAAGAGAACAAGTGTTTTTGTTTCTTCCTCAGTGCTATGTAAAATATCACTAAAAACCTTCGAAACCCGGAGGGAGGAAAGGAAGGAGGGAGGGAATCACTTCACTCTTAGGTCCCATCTTCCTAAGTTATATAGATGTATTTTGTTGTAATACTGTTGTTATTTTTAATTGCAGTCCTTCCATCATTGTGTTTCTGGGCTGTAGCTGAGCACTAACCCTTGGGGAGGGTTGGAATGAATCCAGAGGAGGCCATGGAGATGCTTCAGGAGCTGGAGTCCCTCTGCTCTGGAGCCAGGCTGGGAGAGCTGGGGGGGTTCACTGGAGAAGAGAAGGCTCCAGGGAGACCTGAGAGCCCCTGGCAGGGCCTAAAGGGACTCCAGGAGAGCTGGAGAGGGACTGGGGACAAGGGATGGAGGGACAGGGCAAGGGGAAATGGTTGTCCTTGCCCATGGCAGGGGGTGGGACTGGATGATCTTTAAGGTCCCTTCCAACCCAAACCATTCCATGATTCCATGGTCACATCCCAAGACCATCCTGCTGTTCACAGTCTTGACTGAAGCCTTGGCAGTGCCCCCGTGGGAAGAGCCTGGTGGGTACCCCCCTAATGCCAGGGTGTAACTGGGACCACCCTCACTGTGAGAGAGCCCTGGGCCAGCAGGAGTTGCTGGATGGGGACACAGAAGGTGCTGCCAACAGGAGCCCCCCAAAACCTGTGAGCTTTGCTTTATTAATAATCAGTCTCAGCAGCAGATTCGTGTTCAAAAACCATTTGAACGTGGCAGTTGAGGACAAGACTTAATGAGGAACAGGATGATGCTTGTTTGGCTTGATGATCTTAGAGGTGCTTTCCAAGCTGGATGATTCTATGATTCCACATTTCAGAAATGTCTGATTTCTGTCGGCATTCATAGCTGCATTTCCCAGGAATTGCCTCCCACCAGGCCCAGCTCACCTTTGCTGGGCAGGGCTTTGGGAGCACAGACTGGGCCACACAGGGCTGGTGCAGAGGATTCACCCTCTGTGGGAGCAGGCAATGCCTGGCTGGGGAAGTGGGAGAATTCCTAAAAGAATTAATAAAACTTTGGAAATCATCTGCTCATCCAGGGAGTATTCCAGCATCCCTTGGCAGCCCTGCTCTCTCCTGCTCCATCCGAAGCCTGGCTGCCAGCAGATGGCACAAGGGGTCCGTGTGCTTTGGGCTGTGCCTGCTCTGGCAGCACCTGGAAATCCTGTGGATATCCAGCATCACTCCAGACACTGCCACTCCTCACTGCTGTGGTGACACCCAGCACTCTGAGCTTCCTCCCTGGCTTTGATGTCTCTGCGACAGTGGTTTTGTTAGGAAAACAAAATCTGTATTTAATAACCCATCACCCCATGGCCACACAGCAGGAGCTTTTATTTTATCTTATTTATTTTATTTATCTTATTTATTTTATCTTATTTACCCATAAGACAAAGTTAATTTTTGGCTGGCAGGAGCAGGACCTGAGTCAAAAGCAAAAGCAAACATCGAAGAGAGACTTCCTTCGTTAATATTATTCCATGTAATTTGAATTTTTTTCTCCCCTCCCTCCCAACTGAAGTTATATTACTGAATATTGTTTGTTTTGCACAGGGAACACAAGTGTCCTCTGACCTCTCAGAGCACTGGCAAGGGTGTGAGCTGCAGCACTGTATTAAATTCATCATCTATAATTAATAGCCCTCCTTTGGTGTTTATCACAGTAAATGAAAGGCAGCATAAAAAAGAACAAATCCAATAATGAGGTAACATGCTCTTCTCTCCAGATGCTTTCCAAGTTATTAGGAAATGGCACTAAATCCGTGTAACTGGGCCCTTGGAAGCTCTTGCAGTCTGTTTGCAGACATTCAGGGCAAGAACTGACATTTATGAAATGATTTCCTCGTTCCCAGTCCCAGCCCGAAGCTGCCTGTCCCTGGCTGTGGTGTCATTTACCTTGGCAGCTCCACGAGAGCTGCTGGAGACGGCTCAGGTTTGTTCCTCGCTCCAGAACAGACTCTGCACAGGAGCAGGACGATATTTCCCGTCATTACTCACTGACAGATGCCCTGTTTGGTATTTGTTACTGCTGTGAGAGAGGAACTGGCAAATCCTGGGAGTAAAACATGCCAAGACACCCCTCAGAACTGGCACGAGCTTTGATTTGGTACCAGCGGCTCCACCACGGGCTGCTGGAAAGGATATGCCCTTTCTGGGTCCTCTTTCCTGATTGTAAATCGTGAGAATTAGTTTAAAAACATCCTCAGTTTTGAAATCTATTTATAAACCTGCCCAACCTTAGTGCTGGTGTTAATCCTTAACGTGACCAAGCAGTTTGGAAGCCTCCAGGGGGCAGGAGAGGAAGGGCTTCAAAAATGTTTAAGCAGCGAGATTCGAGGTCTCAAAGGCACTGAAGGAGGTATTTGGGAGCTTGATTTATATGGATTTATAGGGTTAGGACTGTGTCCATAAGGTATTTTTGAGACAAAGCATCTTTTCCAGTGTCACTCTCCTGCTCTTACTGCAGCCTGAGCAAGATATCAGGCTTGGATTTCTGCAGTCTGGGTGAGGTGAGTGCTTAAAGCAGTTGGGAAAAAGTCAGCTGGATGGATAATTCTGGGGGACTGAGGCTGAAGCTGATGGCAGGTTTTAACCTAATAAATCCTCTGTCTTTTTGTGAGGCTTGGACTATTAAGTGATGTGTTTTTTCCTGAATCCAGGCACAACTGTGAGGCCACACTGAGTGAGTGACATCCAGTGTGATGCGGGAGATGATAGATACTTTAAATTCCTCCATCTACCAGAGTAATACCGTGATATCATCTCAGTCTGACTCCAGGAGAAGATCCTCCTCTGCTGCACCACCTCTGGGTGCAGCTCCCTCACCTCTTCTCCTGTTGCAATTCCGTTCATGGGAACTGATCTCACCTATTTCTGGGCTAAATGTCACCACAAACCCAGGGAATCTTGCCTGAGCCTGCACTGGTGAATGAGCCCAAGCATTGCAGTGACTTGTGACAAAAAACACCTTTTAGTTCCCATCTTCCCTGTACAAGGATGTCACTTCATTCAAAATTCCAAGTTTGATTTGCTTTACTTTAAGAGCAGTTGGGCATAACTGGGGGTTAAAGAGCATGAAAATGAAGAAATTAAGTGTAGAGTGATCAACTGGCTGCCCCTGCCACCCATTTGGTCTCAGTCCACTACCTGAACCCAAAACTGCAGCCTTGAAAAACCATCTTGTGGCTGCCACATTAACTCTGAGGGCTGTTAAACTCTGCAGGAACAGTTCTCCTCTCTTCTCTTCTCTTCTCTTCTCTTCTCTTCTCTTCTCTTCTCTTCTCTTCTCTTCTCTTCTCTTCTCTTCTCTTCTCTTCTCTTCTCTTCTCTTCTCTTCTCTTCTCTT